ACTTTAATATAGTTCATCAAGTTGCGGCGACACTTTAATATAGTTCATCAAGTTGTGGCGACCCTTTAATATAGTTCATCAAGTTGTGGCGACACTTTAATATAGTTCATCAAGTTGCGGCGACACTTTAATATAGTTCATCAAGTTGCGGCGACACTTTAATATAGTTCATCAAGTTGCGGCGACACTTTAATATAGTTCATCAAGTTGCGGCGACACTTTAATATAGTTCATCAAGTTGCGGCGACACTTTAATATAGTTCACCAAGTTGCGGCGACACTTTAATAAGTTCATCAAGTTGTGGCGACACTTTAATATAGTTCATCACGTTGTCGCGACACTTTAATATAGTTCATCAAGTTGTGGCGACACTTTAATATAGTTCATCAAGTTGTGGCGACACTTTAATATAGTTCATCAAGTTGTGGCGGCCCTTTAATACAGTTCCTCATGTTGTGACGATTGTATGCTCAATATGTTGTTATTGCGCACCGAATCGTCTGCTATCGACACCAATGTCGAAACCAACAGATAGCTGTCTGCTGCCAAATCGAACCCGGCATCCCCGAAAAAAAGTTAATGAGCCAACGGACTAACTGATAAGCATGCACCAACGCATGTGGGAAGAAGAATGGACAGAGCATATATCATCAACGCTGTACGGACTGAGCTAGTGGACACTGACACTAACATGATTGCATGAAACAGTAGTAAAACATGGTAAAGCACGTCCATGCCGCCTTCTAGACCGCGAAAGAAGACATTGTTCTCATGGGAACAATTAGCAGAAGTACCTTGGAGTGGCTGCTGCATCGGAGGACTGAGCACGCATGGGAATGCCCAATGTAGAGTGACGTCGATTGTTATAACATTACATCCCAGCCATTTCAAAGAGCATTGGCAAACCAAACCAAACCAAACCAGAATCATACATAAGAGTATCCAAGCGAAACTGGGTCACATTGGTCATTGGTATTTAACTAAATCCACAGTAACATACAAGAAGCCAGCTAGTGGCCTTCTTTAGTCAAATGCGTCTTTGTGCTGAAAAAATGTACTTAATATAAGTATGGCTGACATACTTACTACGACCTCGTCAGAGCCAGTAGTACTATAGGCGATGGATGCTCTTTGATATGCTGGTAAAAGATTTTATATATATATGTATATATATATATATATATATATATATATATATATATATATATATATATATATATATATATGTGTGTGTGTGTGTGTGTGTGTGTGTGTGTGTGTGTGTGAGTGTGTGTGTATATATATCTTTGAGGTTCGAATTCTCGGTATCAAATTGACTCTGGTCTTCAAAGGGAGCCGGTCTAAAATGGGTATTGACTGGTCTTCAAAGGGAGCCGGTCTAAAATGGGTACCAGCTAATGTTCTAGGAGGAAACGGCTGTGGTGTAAGCGCTAGACTCTCTTCTACGGATCCGAAGGTCGTGGGTTTAAATCCAGACGGTGCTGAACTATTAATAAAAATGACCTTGGCTTCCAGGCCATTCCAGCCTCAAATAGGTACCTCGTAAAAACTATTGGACGTGAAGGCGGCCGGCGTGATGCTGACCAAAGCACCCGTTAAGTGCAAACTGGTCTATAAAATATAGGTCTAGCTCTGTATGCTAAATACTCCTTAAATTCTCGAATGGTAACGTTTACTTTACTGACTTCTGATTGAATATCGACATCGTAGCACGCCGGGTATACCCATAGGTGCTCCGCAGCAAATGTCTTAAGATGTAATTGCTAATTATTCTCGCAGTGCACTGATTATATTTACACGTCGTTCTCTTCCTCTCATTTGTCCCTCCTTGCTTGATCCATACTTAATTTCTCGTAAACATATCTTACACATGCTATTTCATCTCACAACATGTCTCCTGTCAGCATTCGTTCATGAAAAGTCTTCAGAGTGTCATCCTTGTCCTGTACAAATGTTTCTATAGCTATGTATTTTGTAGTCAGAAAATCTACTCTTTAATTCCCTCGCACTCCTCGTGTGGTTTCCGGGGTCCTATTTTAGAGAAAACAAGAATAGACCCATTCTTCTTCTTCTTCACTTCCTCTTTTACCGCTGTGGGTGTCGAGGGAGATATAAGGTTCTGTTTCTAGCTCTTCTGGCCGCTTCGACCATAGGTACATCGTGCTGTTGTAGAGTTTCTCTGATGTTATCCTTCCATCTTGTTCTTGGTCTACCTCTTGCTTTACGTCCTTCTTCTCTTTCCATGTATGATTTGTATGGTATGGTGTCACAAGGCATTCTCTCTAAGTGGGCAAACCATTTCACTTGTTGTCTTTGTATGTAATCCAGAATTGGCATAGACCCATTGCCTACCCAAAAGCATGTCGTAAGAGCCGACTAACTGTGAGCTTCCTTCGAAGTCGAAATGCATGTGCCGGAAAGGCAAGGAACCACCAGTCTGCATAAAATAAATCAGATCTGTAAAACGGATACACACGCAACACTCAGGTTTTGGAACAGGACTGCAGTTTAGAAGTGGACGAGGAACCAGAATTTTCCGCCGGAGTTAACAGCTGGTGAACGCGAAGAAGAAGAAGACGATTTCCGTGCACTCCTGCTTATCCCGTACAGTTTTTCTTTACCTTTATAATCCTAATAAGTAAAAGTTATAAGTTAGTTGCGGATCCTTTACAGGACGTTACAGAACCAACCCCATTTAAAAAAAATTGTTTTTTTGTTTTGTTGTTGTTGTTTTTCTAGGCAAATTTTACGTTCAGTAGTTCGCCATTGAAGTATAGGTGGGTTTTTCCCAATGTATGAATGGATTTTTGCTTCATAACTTCCCTAGGCTTCCTAGTCGACCTAGCCTAAAAAGGTACCTGGCAATGTCCCAGTAAGTAAAAGGTGACACGTATAAACCACACAGATGACACGTATAAACCATACAGGAGGAAAAGGTCAAAGGCAAGGGAGCAAGAGGTGGGCAACAATACAAGTGGGAGGTCAAGAGATGGACGGGCAGCAGTCTGAGAGAGTGTACAACCAGGACAAGAGACAGAGCGTTTTGGAGATCTAATGCGGCCAACCTTAACTGTGGAGACGACACCTGATTGATTGATTGAAAGGGGACGACGAGATATTGGCCTCATCAGCCGACTGAATACCGACTCGGGTACACAAATATAAGTCTAGTATCGTGTATCCGATGCACTACTGACGCAAAAACGTCCTTAACCATTGGCAAAGCGCGATCGATTCACATGTGTAAGCGTTATCGGGTAACGATTAAACTGGAGAGGGTATCACGTGATATTTTCCTTCAGTCGCTGGGCTGTTGAGAGTATCCGTGCGCAGATAGAATTGTAGTACTAATAACTAGTAGCTTTTAGAAGTAACGTTTTTTGCTAAGTGGATGCAGCGATTGTTCTTTTCGCTACGTGTTTGTAGTAAATAGGTATCAGATAGAACAAATAGTACAATGCTGTATTTTCTTTTCCTTTGGCAACGGAACGATATTATAGCTGTTACCTGCACGCCTGACGACCGTTCTGAGTTGAGTTGAGTTGAGTCAAGAAATGACATCATACCACTTGGGGTATTCCCATGCGTTCTCCGTCCTCATCTTCAGCAGCCAACGCAGAGTTCCAATACTAATGCTACCTGTCGTAATTTGGTTATATGTCGGTCTTGCATTTCCCCTCAGTGTAGTGAGCCGGCCAGACTATCTGGTTACACCCAGGTGCCTCATTCTCTCCAGGCCATAATAATCTTGTTTCGCTTCTGACTCCATTGCTTTTTCCCAAAGAGCCCTGACCACATCTGCCTTGTCATGTATCAGTTCACCACCCAGTGGTGCAGATCCAGCCAATATGTCTGCCTGTTCATTCCCCACCGCGCCAGCATAGCCTGGAGAAAAGATCCACGGTATGCTCACTACTCGTGACCTTTCCAGTGAAGCTTGCCACTCTGTTCGAAACATCCCTGTCTTCACCTTTCGCAGCATGCTTTCAGAGTGTTACAATTATGACATGTGTATGTATCTTGTTCTCTAGCCACCGGGGAGCTGAAGTTACCGCCTCCACCTCCATTCTCATGCTAGACGCGGTGGTGTCGTATGCTAGGCAGTTGACGAAAGCTCTTTACTTCACTTACTTATAGAGATCTGGCAGACGTGTAAACCGGTTAATGGAGAAGCTATAAAATGAAAATAAACGTGACAAATAAAACTTTCTTGATAAGTGATATGGTAATGGAAATCTGATAGTGCCGTAATGGAATAACAGAAAAATAAATGTTGAAACTGAATCCTATGTACTGTCTTTGTCTTGTTTAGCGACAAACAGCAGTCGGATTTATTAAGCAGAAACGTAAATATGCAAACCAGCTGGTGGTTACTGATTTAAGAATCGATACATAAAACATGACAGCCGCTGTGATGTATCGGTTAGCCTGAGGATCTGAAGGTCGGGGGTTTAAACCTGAAAGAAGTCTAATCCTTAAACAATGACATTGCCTCACAGATCGACCTAGTTTTGGATGGATACGAGCTAAGGTATTGCGAAGTAAAGGTGGCCGGCGTCCTGCTGACTATATAACCAGCCGAGTTACGATTGGTATAAATAATAAATGTCTAGCAACGCCAGTGGGTCACCGGGGTCCTAATGGAAAGCAAATAATTGTAACCTTGCACCCTACCAGGTGGTCGTAAAAGGCGACTGATGGTAGGGTTGGCAACCTCATCCTGTAAAAATACTAGCCACAAAAAACCATCCAGTCATGGAAAAGTCCTAACTATAGCCGAGCCCTAAATATGGCCTAACGCCTGCACGGGGTTTCTCGGACCACTATACGGGTGATCCTCATCCGCATGGTGGCACTTTGTGTCACCGGGTGTTTATCGCTTGTGTGCTGATCAGGTACAACTTACATACATACATTTTATTCTTTGAGTTTTTCTTGACTTTCAATACTACCACCTTAATCAGTAAACGAATCTGTTACTTTACTGGTTGTTTTTCAGGAATCAACATGTCTTTGGTCTACATCATCCTGAAAGTGCTGCTGTGTGTCGTCTATGTTGTCCGGGTCAGTCTGGATAGCCCCAAAGAGTATGCCTGGTGAGTTGATTGTCCGCTGTAAAAGGTTAAAGGTTACAATCGAAAGGATTTGACCCCACATGGTTCGGTTTCTCTCCGCAGAACGGTTTGTCGTCTGCCTGCCACAAAGCACGAACTGCGTAGCTCCAGTAGCTCCAGCGAAGATACTTTCTCTATGTCTCTCTTTCTGCCCCTGTCTCTTAATTTTCTCCATCTCTCTGTTTCTATGTTTCTCTCAGTCTGTCTCTCTTCTCTGTCTTTCTTTCTTTCTCTCTCTCTCTCTCTCTCTCTCTCTCTCTCTCTCTCTCTCTCTCTCTCTCTCCTGTCTCTGTCTTTCCCTGTTGCTCATTTCTCTATGTCTCTCTCTGTCTCTACTTATATGTGTCTGTATGTCTGTATGTCTCTCTCTCTCTCTCTCTCTCTCTCTCTTCTGTCTTTTTCTATTTTTCTCTATGTACATTTGTCTCTCTGTGTCTGTCTATGTCTCCCCCTGTTTCTCTCTTTCTCTCTGTCCCCTGTCTCTCTGCATAACTTTTTTTTTCACTTTATCTCCATGTATCTCTCTTCTATTTGTCTATCTGTCTATCTCTTTCTTTCCCTCTCTTTCTTTCTCTATATATAAATGCCTCTGTCTGTCTCTCCATCTCTTTGTCTCTGTTTCTCTCTACCTGTGTCTCTTTTTGTCTTTCTCTGTCTCTCTTGGTCTCTCTGTCTATTCCTCTTTGTCTGTCTCCAACTTTGCTCTGTCTCTCTCTGCCTTTCTCTGTCTTTCCATGTCACTGTTTTTCGTTCGATCTTTCATTTTCTCTCTCTTTCTCTATCTGTCTCTCTATCTCTGTTCCTCTTTGTCTCAATCTTTCTTTCTGTTTTCTCTGTCTCTCTCTGCCTCAAGTTCTCTGTGTCTCTGACTCCTTATCTAGTTCCCTCTATCTATGTCTCTCTCTATATCTATGTCTCGTTATGTCTCTCTTTGTCTCTCTGTAAGTCTCTCTCTCTCTTTTTTCACCGTGTCCCTCTTTCTCGCTGTGTCCTTTCCTTCCTCTCTCTGTCTCTCTCTTCTGTCTCTCTTTGTCACTATCAGTTCATCTCTTTGTCTTTTTCTCTCTCTGTCTCGTTCTTTCTCTTTCTCGTTGTCTTTCTCTCTCTTTCTCTGTCTGTCTCGTTTTTCTCTGTCTGTGTCTTTCATTCTCTCTGTTTCTTTATGTCTCTCTGTCTGTCTATATTTGTCCTCTTTTGTCTATCTCTGTCTCTCTTTGTATCTCTGACTCCCTCTGTCTCTCCGTCTATTTATCTCTTTGTCTCTCTCTGTCTCACTCTCTGTTTCCATCTGCGTCACTCTTTCTCTCTGTCTGTCTCTCTTTCTCTCTCCCTTTTTCTCTTTCTTTCTATCCGTGTATCTTTCTCCGTGTCTCTCTCTCTGCGTCTGTCTCTGTCTCTCTTTCTCTGTATCTCTCTGTTTCTCTTTTTATCTCTGTCCCTCTATGTCTCTCTATGCCTCTCTGTCTATCTTTCTGTCTATCTTTCTGTGTCTCTATGTCGCTCTCTGTCTCTACCTCATTCTCTCTACCTCTCTCTGTCTCTGAATCAATGTTTTCTCTATGTGTCCCTCTCTGTCTCTTTCTTTCTCTGTCATTCTTTCTCTGTGTCTCTATATGCGTCTCTCTCTGTCTCTCTCGTCTCTCAACATACCGTCCCACACATGCATATATATATATATATATATATATATATATATATATATATATATATATATATATATATATATATATATATGCACATATGTGTGTGTTGGTGTGTGTGTGTCACTATCATTCATACACCTGGCTCTTTTCTGGTGCTGCAGAGCTCGTTCATGGTGCTGACATTTCCCTAACGTGTTGTACTTATGACAACTGCAACATTTAATGTGATATTCATGTGCAGTTAGAGTCATCACACGCAGACCCTACCAGACCGATTACATATTCATTGATATTTACAAAACTTTCTCAAATGATATATTCCTGTTTTGATTCCGATGCTGTTATTTCAGCGATGGTATTCCATGTAACATGACCGTCTTTGACAGTGGGGGAGAGGAAGGATTCACTTCTACCAATATCAACTGGTAAAGTAGTTATGTCTTTTATTTTTCATTATAATCAATATCATCATCATCATCATCATCATCATCATCATCATCATCATCATCGTCATCATCATCATCGCCGTAGCAGGTCGTTTGCACTTGTTTATTTATAGTTCACCACTGTTCAGCTTTAGGATAAAACTAAACAAGTTCCAGTGGATCAAGAGGTAAAGAAAATACGTTGGCATTGAGTAGCACACACGCTGAGAACACCAAAGAACACTTTATAAATAATGTCTTCAGATGGAACCTAGAGGGGCACATAAATCTAGGTCATCCCCCCCCCCCCCCCAAAAAAAAAAAAAAACCCAGTGCATAGAAGGGAGCTAGAGAACAGATAAAAAGACGTTGAGGACATTTGGTGGGTTGCATGCAATAGCGAAGAAAAGAACTGCTTCATGTGAGTTGGTTGATGGCCTATGCTCCATTGGGGGATAGAAAGCAGAAGAAGACTGGACGAATGAACTGTGACCCGCGGCAGAACAACCCCCCCCCCCCCCCCCACCCCCCAAATGTTGTATATTTGTACTGCTAAATATCACAAAAAGACATCAAGCCATAAGTAAAGTAAAACCAGTAAACATCGTATTATAACAAACACAAAAGACAGGTGAACGTTGCGGCTAGAGAGCTTCATCAGCACATTACAGGAATACCACAAATACAATCATGACTTATTGCAAATCACTTAACGGAAGTATCTTCGAGATAAAGATAAAGGTGAAGCTAAGAGGATCGAATTCACTGCAACGGGTTTTATCAATATGGCTCAGTCTCTCCTCAGAACACCTAGCTGCCTGCCGAGAGCGTCGCACGAATCTCCGTAGTTCTGACGACGATCCCTGGTGATCTTCGTTAAAAACTGCGCTCAGGAACTCAACGACTCCGCCGTTAAACGAACCCACAACCTACAAAGCGCGATACAAACGGCGTGACCACTCCGCCACGGAGACCCGCAGTGTCTCCGATAAAAATCACAAATCGGTCTGGTCAGCGGAATCTCTGATTTTTTCAAACTCATGCCTGATCCAACACTTCACAACATCGACAGTTGCCTGAGGCTTTCGTTCGTCACTGTATCAGTTGTGAGGTTTGAGTTCTGAACAACGGATCAACATCATGGCACACGCGTAATAACCCATAAGTGCTCCGTTCTTCTTCTAACTCAAGTCTGAGTCCGAAGAAGCTCAGCACAGTGCACAGGCTCGAGGATCCTGAAATTCTTTGGGTAGATTTTTAACTCCAAATTTAAATTTTGTCCGGACAGCGCCGTTAGGCTACTTTTTATTGATTTCCAACTGCCAAGTTTTTTTTTTACGTGCTCAACAATGCACACAGATGTCCGATCTCACGACCCAGAGACCATGGGGAATTATTAGGAGTCCAAGTTCACGTGAAAAAATCCCAGCCCTCACCAGGGATTGAACCCAGAACCTCAAGCACTCGCCTAAAACAGCATGCCTTGATACCACACAGGCCCTCGTCCCTGTATCAACTACTTGCCAAATCATTCATTCACATATGTATCGATCACTCCCCTCTTCAGGTACGTCTTGATATGGGTGAGAAGACCATTGGCTCTGTGGATCGTGGAGGTCGTATTGTCTCTAGTCACTTTATTCAAAACAATCATGATGACGTCAATCACAGGCAAGGTAAGCAACTCCACATGACTTGAACACAGAAGTACATAGTGGTAATCGTTTCATCAACGATTTCCTCTTCAGCTCTTTGGAGTGATAGTTGGGATAAATAAAGCCCCCACCTCCTCCAACCCTAACTATATAACAGTTTCTGTTATCCGTCATCGTTGCATCGTGCCAATATGGAAGGCAATTTTTCGTTATTCTAAAGTCGCATAGACTTCAGTACTGCTCTGAAGGGTGTCGAAAACGTCTACCGGCGAGCCTATGGGCGACGCGCTGGCCGATGAATATGTGTTTTTCACCACACACACACACACACACACACACACACACACACACACACACACACACACACACATATATATATATATATATATATATATATATATATATATATATATATATATATATATATCATCATGTAGCAGGTCCTTGCAGAACGTCGCTCTCATCATGCTCTCATCGTCTGCCTGCAAAAAACTCGGTCTCACAAGCTCTCCCGCCTCATCAACTTTCATACTCAAGGAGTCACTTATATCCTGTGCCCATCTTTGTGTTGGTCGGTCCCTGCCCATCCTTCCTGGTACCATGCCGTCTGCTATAATTGTGTCCAGTCTGTCGTGTGTGTGTGTGTGTATATATATCTTTTACTGGTGTGTGTCGACCCACTGCCACCATCCTGACCTAAATCACATCCATCATCACGTAATATCCTTGCCAACCGCGCTTCTGGCAAACAAATCTCAGCTACAATTTGTGTCATTCAAATCGGTGACGACCGAGCAGCATCTGTCACTCTGTCTTGTCATTTTGCGTTGGGCATTTTCCTTTAGCAACCCGTAAGAGAATAATGACGCTTTTAATGTGTGCATGGAAGCTGCACATAGTGCTGATGTAATGGACATAAGGAAGATAACATTTTTTTTTCTTTTCAAACTGTGACTGCCGTTTGATCATCATCTTCAATTTTCTGTTCTGTCATTATATGTTACATCTATTCTCCTTTTTCAGTTCTCTCGTGTACAATCAATTCAATGTGATGGTTAGAATCCAGTCCAGCACTTTAGAGCTCTTTCATCAACAATCTCTCTCTCTCTCTCTCTCTCTCTCTCTCTCTCTCTCTCTCTCTCTCTCTCTCTTGTTGCACCCCACCAGAACATCATACAAGCGATAATCACTCGGTGACACAAAGTGCCACCATACAGATGAGGATCACCCGTGGAGAGGTCTTCGAAACTCCTTTCAGCCGTTAGGCCTTATCTATGGCCTGGCTATATTCAGAGGCCACTGGAAAAAGCCTGGGTGGGGCTTCAAATAACGAAAAATTGCTTCCAACATGGGGACGACTAACTTGATTATTGTCAACATTCATTTGAGGGTTTCTTTTATCGTTCTCGCCTCCTTCCTGACTGGTGAATCTCTACTCGTTGTCTTTCAAGGTGTGTCCAGTATAACGACATCTACTTTGTCTTAGACAGTTGCTACCAGTCATTGCCCAGACATTTCTCTTATTTCTTGTTCCGGTAGTAGGCGAGATCTTTACACCCTAGCTCATCCTAAAGGAGTTAATGATCGCTCACAACATGCCTGTGGGTTTTTTCCCTCCAAAACGTACCTCAGCTGCCAGATCAGCTCAACCTAAACTGGGTACAGGTCAATGTTCTGTAAAGTAAAGGCAGCTTGTGTGCTGTTGACACATCGCCCATTGAGTCTCCATTTGTCTATAAAAATATAGGCCCTGCCAGTGGCTCTAGAACCTAGGTGGATAGGGCACTCGAGAGCTCCCTTGGACATTTTTAGGAGTGGGTAGTGTGATTGCAATATCTTGAAATATCTTAAAACGACATCCTAAGCAAGTCACTTCAACACCCACCCCACCCTCTATTTCCTCCCTCTTTTTTTAGGTCACTGGAATAAAAGGGTTAATTACTCACTCGACAGTGGTGTTAAAACCAGAACCATTGTCACCGTTGCTCTTTAACTGTACTTGAAGAAGGAGGGGGGAAAAAGGGGGGGGGGGGCAATTCCCGTCTAGACGTTTCAGGCATGAAAGTATGTGAAATTATCAAATTTAATTAGGTCTACAGATATGAAACAAAACTTGTTTTTGTTAAAGTAACCAACTGTATAGCGAGAGGCACACCTATAACCTGGAACTGTGCCGATGAAAACGGGACATAGGGTTATCCTAGGGCAGAGGTTCTCAAACTGGGTGCCGCGAGCGTATGCCAAGGGTGCCGCCGCAGTAATCAAGAATTTTTCCAAATCTGCTTGAGCAAAGTTTCTGGGTCAAGTGATTTGAGGGTAAAGTTAGCTTAACTTCCCATAAACATAAAGGAAATAATGAAAATTTCCCCCAGTCTGTTTCATTCATCGCATTCCAGACAACTAAACTTTAAATATGCAGTGTCCCTCCTCCCCCCCCCCCCTTCTTTTCCTAAGTATTCAAACCTCTTTAAGGGCAAGTGTGCCCCATGTCCTGCTATCACACATCTGTATCTTAGCAGAAGCCGACCTTGACAAATTTGAACCATCTGTAATTTCCAATGGAAAATGTCCTTAGGGACTTCAATCCACAAAATGCGACGTTCTTTCTTCATATCCTACCGCATATGACGTCGCAGGACAGTCCAACATTTTAGAGGGTGGTAAGACTGGTTTTCCCGGCCTTAACCCCAGCCCACCTACGTCACAGGAGAGAATGCAGACTAGGTCCCACGACTGCATGCAGATTATCTACCACCCCCTGAAATATTAGACTCTCCCATGACCTGTGGATTTCCCCTGTACGGTGTAGGATATTTAAAAAGCACCAAATGTGACCCAGCCACCTGAGCCCTTGGAGACTGAGCATTGAGAAAACCGTTGTGATACCTACCCACTCTTTCCACTACCTGTATTTATGATACTATCTTAGCACTTAATGCCAAGTATTTTTTGTTTAGGCATCGCATGTGAAAGCCATATAGCTGTTTCTCATTGCACGAATAAGTCGTGTATGTATTTGCGAGCGTGCGGACGTGCGAGCGTGTGTGTGTGTGTTTGTGTGTGTGTGTGCGTGCGCGCATGCACTTGTTCAGAAATCTACAACGTAACGAATCTAAATATTGTTTACACTGACATTTATTTGTATCTGTTTATTATTTCGTTTCTTGCATTCTGTCAGTGGAACACAGGTAAGAGTTTTGGAAATGTTGTATTTATTCAGTTGCGCAAGTAAAAAAAAAAAACCCTTGGCTGTTGGAAATCGAAAAGAGTAGCCTAACTGCGCTGCCCGGGCAAAATTTGAAGTTAAAAATCTACCCAAAGTATTTCAGGATTCTCGCCGATGTAACAGAGCCTGTGCACTGTGCAGAGCTTCGTCGGACTTAGACTTGAGTTAGAAGAAGGACGGAGCACTTATGGGTTACTACCCGTGTGCCATGATGTGGTCGGTTGTTTTAACTTCAGACTTTAGTTGTGTGTAATGCACTGGGTAACACCATCATTAAAAAGGTTGTTGCGTATCCCTTACAGGACGTTGCAGAACCAACCCTAACAGCCCCTGGCTGTTGTGTGGTTTCTCTAGGCAAATTTACGTCCAGTAGTTTGCCATTGCTTTCTGGACGGTCGGCTTTCTTGATACCACTGTCGAAACCAACACAAGGCGCATTGCCCGCAGCTGGGATCGAACCCGGCATCCCGGCATTACGAAGCAAAGCGTTCGCATTGACTTAGCCACAGAGCCGACAACACCATCATAGATAACCTATTCTCTCATAAACAACCACAATAGGACACACTGAATTGCATTCATCACATGTTATTACTCTACACTTTCTATTGCGATTTGATTGTTCTAAAAAGTCAGTAATAATTACAATATGGACATTTACTCACAAAGATAACAGATTAGCCACCTCACAAGAAGTTTACACATTGTTTGTTATTGCCGTGATAGAGGTTAGAAAGTTGGGGCGGGAGGCTAACATCTACGAATTCCTTATTTGGTGCAATTCAGCAACGCGATTGACACCTAATTTGTTTGAATCAGTGGCAAGTGATGTACCTCTAAACAACCCCTATTTTTTTAATCTAGCCTAAATGGTGATGATGATGATGATGATGGTGATGGTGATGGTGATGGTGATGATGATGATGATGGTGATGACGATAAGATCAAGTACACACACTACTGTAATACACACACACACACACACACACACACACACACACTCACTCACTCACACTTACATGTAAGTTGATAGTCTAAGAATTTGATTATTATATAATTATTATTTAATTTGTTTCCCTTCTTGGTAAAAGTCAACTTCTGCCATCTTGTTAGTTTTCAGTTTATGTTTTTCCGTTGTAAAATAATATGGTAAATTAAATTTAGATTACATTAAGATGGTTTCTTCGGTTAATAATTTCCTTTCTTTTTCTTCTTTCTCTTGCGAAAATTGTTTGATTTTATCAACAAGGTAACCTAAATGCAGAACATAACCTCGATGTTTGCATTTTGCTTTCCCCTTGTCACGTCTTTGGCTCATCGGGCAAATACTGCTAAATTTGTATAGACCAGTCGGCGCCCTATGGGCGATATGATCAACGTCATTCGGCTGCCTTTACTTTCCAGGACACATTACCTGATAGCCAGATTAGACAAGGTCGACCTGAAAGCTAAGGTCAATTTTGACCCCCATAAAATCCGCTTCGATGTGGACTGAAACTTTGACCTTTTGACCGGCATGAGAGCTTTCTACGGCGGCTTCCACTGCTGAGATAAGTAAAATTTAAAACCGGATGAAAGTGTCGGCACGAGAACATGCTTTAAAAACTGACAACACTGCAGGCTGGGTTACGACATCAACCGAGGCATAACTCTACTTAAAAGTTAATTTCAAGTTTCAGCTAAAAGTCGATCGATCAGTTTGTTTCCCCGGGTTATTACCTAATGGTTTCCCCGTATCATCCAGGGATTAACATTTTCAGTGTGTAAGGCAGACGTCTAGACTTGATGAATTCACAATCTACATAAAGCCCCGAGGTCGCTACTGTTTTAAAATACTCCGGTTGATCTTAGATGACTTTTAAATATAATATTTAGGTAAAGGTTAGAGGATTGGGCACTCTTCCGAATACCGGCCCCATATTATTCAAAGACAAAAGATCCCATTCAGGGCCTCAAGAGGTCGTTGTTAGGGACTTGAGAGGTCATGTAGTTAAAAATATAGAACAGAAACACTACAAACTATGCTTTCTTTTATTATATAATTTCGTTTGAACGAAATTACCGAGTCTTCGCTAGTATAGTTGATAAGCAGTCTGCTTGTTACGCCGGTGATCGGGGTTCGATTCTCCGGCAAAAACATTTTTCTTTTTTTTTTCTTCAAAAGGGTGGTTTGCACGTTGTGTTGTGGTTAACAACTAGGCTGCGGATTGACTTCATTGCAGTAGGTTTTGTCTCAGTCTTTCTCTGCAGAACAGCTAATTGTCCGACGAGCGTGTCACACAAAGCACGACCTCCCCAGCTGCGGTGACTACCCTATGGATCTCTTTAGAAATTTCACTCGTGAACTAAACACTGTCGCTGTGAAACGAGCCTACGACTTTCAGAGCTCGAGGCAAACGGTTTGACCACTCCGCTACGGGGAACCCAACATATAAGTTTATAAAAAGTGGAAGTTAAATATATCAAGCTGACTATTTTATTCAATTTAAAGATGAAACAATTTAGAATAAATAAAACCCTAGAGGTCCTGTTCACGTTTCCAGTCCTATTTACACACTCTCTGACCTTTCATTGATGCTTTCTGGGACTCCTCTACATCAGATGGGTGTCACTGTTTCCGGTGGTATGTATGGCGACCGACCCTTATTCTGCAAATGGCGCTAACCTCCACCAACCCCAATCCCCCCCCCCCCCCCCAAGCGCAGTCTCAATCTACGTCGCACGAGAGCGTGCCGCGTACGGCCCCGACTCGTGGTTTCAGAGTGGTAGGCCCTAGTTGGTCCTAAACCAGACCCGTGCAGTAGCGGGTTCTAAAAAAGGAGTGAAACATTTTACATTGTCTCCTGACACAAAAGTCAACAAGCCTTCACTTTGGCAGCGTTAGTATATCTGAAGATCTCACCAAACGACAGGACTAACAAACTCCAAAAGAAGCAATTATTCGTTAGCCATGAGTGAAAACGCAATGTTGAATGCTACTACTGACGGCATCACGAGAAACAGGCAATGCGAGTAACACGAAACGCGGGAAGCTTTTCAAAGATGTGTTCAGCATCACGCCGGCCGCCTTTACTTCCCAGGACTGCACCTGGTACCCACTTGGTCGACCCGGAAGCCACGGTCATTTTTAAAGAAAGCTTCGTTCCATCAGGACCCGAACCTAAGATTTTACGAACGGCAGTCGAGCGTCTAGTCGCTACACCACGGCGACTCCCACATATCTACACTCGTTTCATTAAACTGTAATCATTGAGGTTAATTTTTGATGCAATTATTATCACTATAATATTTTTACTGTTTCAGGGAAACTTCTTCATTGCAATTGCATCAAGGTTTTTCTTCCTGGAGTTGTTTTGTTGTGTTCCAGTCGTGTTGACTGTAAGTGCTTCCATTGTTGTGTTCCAGTGGTGTTGACTGTAAGTGCTGCCCTTGTTGTGTTCCAGTCGTGTTGACAGTAATTGCTTCCATTGTTGTGTTCCAGTGGTGTTCACTGGAAGTGCTTCCATTGTTGTGTTCCAGTGGTGTTGACTATAAGTGCTTCCACAGCTTTAGTCGCTGATAATTGATGGCTTGGTATTTGAAGGTGTGTGGCAATAAAATAATGGGTGGAAGACATTTGAATGAACACTTCCTTTGAAGTCGGAGTACATTTGCTTGTTAGGCAAGAAAACGAAAGACTGCACACGTCTGTTAAACTGATGAGCACGCAAAACTCAAGTTATGGAATAAAGCCAAAATCTATATGTGGACGAACAAGCAGGACAAACAAGCAAAAAGATAACTTCCAACAGCGGTTACAAATAAATTTATTATAAATACCATGCAGTTTTAGGGGGGGAAAAACTGTTCAGTATTATACTTGTCTCTTTTCAGAAACACTACTTAAATCTTGACCATATATGCTGTCTCTGTTCAGAAACACTACAAAATCTTGACCTTATATATGTGTCTCTCTTAAGAAACACTACACAATTTTGACCTTATATAATTGTCTTTATTCAGAAACACTACAAAATCTTGACCTTAAATACTTGTCTCTCTTAAGAAACACTACACAATTTTGACCTTATATAATTGTCTCTGTTCAGAAACACTATTTAAATCTTGACCTTATATACTTGTCTTTGTTAAGAAAAACTACAAAATAGTACCCTTAAGTGCTGGTCTCTATTGATAAATGCTGAAGAATTTTGACCTTAAATACTGTTTTCTATGCACAGATGCTATAAAATCTTGACTTTATGTAATGCTTTCCCTCCTCTTGAACATTAACAAATCTTGGCTTTAAATACTGACCTCTATTTATAAACATTACACTCCAAATAGTTGTGTTTTTTGTGTCTTGAACATTACAACATTTTGACCTAAAACTCTTCATTAAAATATTACACAGAACATTGGGAAAATCATGATCATCAATGAATGCTCAAACCAGACACACACAAAAACAGATTTAACCTACAAAGTCTGAGAATATATAAGCTCCTGGCACAGTAATTTGGGTAAATAATGAGAGTATTCATTTGATTTGTTTTTTTAAACAGATTCTGTGGCCTCCGGTGTTACAAAACATTTTCTTCCCAACTTTCCTCAACTGCTGGTTGGCCTTAATGTCTTTAAGAAACCTTTTGGTAAGTTTTTATTAAGAAACATGCAGAATGAAAGTAATGGTAATTTGCTTGCTAGCATGCCATCTTAAAGCTGCACAATGTTGATAATTATATATCACTGTATTGGGCGAAAGTCCCATTGTGGAGGGGGCAGGGAAGGAGGGAGTGGGGTTGTGAATTCACTGCCCCCCGGTAATCATGTCGTAAAACTAGACAAATCAGGGGTGTTTCCTTTGAGGTCCTATTGCATCTGCCTGAGAGGCAAGGAACCAAGAATCTGCAAATAAATAAGCCAGATCTGTAAAGTAGATGTGCATGCAAAACTCAGGTTCTTTAACAATACTAAAGTCCAGAAGTGGACAAACAACCATAACTTTTCCCTGGAGTTTACAGCTGGTGAAAACTAAGAAGAAGAAGAAGAAAAAGAATAAGAAAAGAAAAAGAAAAAGAAACAAGAAAAAAAGAAGAAGAAGAAAAAAAAATAAGGAGAGGGAGGAGGAGAAGAAGAATAAAAAGAATTATATACAAATAAGAGTTAGCTCTGAAGCTCATATACAGGTGTTACTATATATTGTAATCATAAAAAAAAATCACATAGAAATAAAACAATTTTGGTGCAGAGCTGTAGAGGATGAGCTTCAAGCCATCTGAATAGAATCAATAGGTTTATTATAGCCACAGGAATCAGAAGTATAGCATGACCACAGAATGTAGAAGTAGAAGAGTGGGATAAATGTATCTTCTTCTTCTTCTTCTTCTTTGCGTTCACCGGCTGTAAACTCTGGCGGCAAGTTTTGGTTGTTCATCCACTTCTGGACTGCAGTCCTGTTCCAGAACCGTTTTACAGATCTGATTCATTTGTATGCAAACTGCTGGTTCCTTGCCTTCCAGGTAAATTACTCCAACTTTGAAGGAAGCTCCCAATTTGTCGACTCTTATGACACACTTTTGGGTAGACAGTGGGTCAATTCTTGTTTTCCCTTGAACAGTGCCCTAGAACCCAAACGGGGAGGACTAATGTATAGGTCAGGAGGTTTGTTGTGCATCTTCTTTTAGTTAGTTAGTTAGTTAGTTATTCCTCTTGTGCCAAAGATGGAGCATAGGGCAGAGGTCATAGCTTTCCACGTCTGTCGGTTCGTTGCCACTTGATGTAGGTCTTGAGTGCGACTGAGACCTATGGTTGAGCTCTCCCTTGTGATGGTTCTACGGAGAGTTTCTTTTGGTCTTCCCTGTTTTCTTTTACCCTCTGGTGACCATATGAAGGCTTGGTGGGGAAGTCTCTGTATGTCCATTCTGAGTACGTGACCGATGTAATTCCAGCGACGCATTCTAATAAAATCAGACACATATTTTTGTTTTGTTTCCTGTCTTATAGATGTGTTGGACCTAAAGTCCGACCAGTGAACATTCAATAGCTTTCGGAGGCATCTATTCTCGAAAGCGACTAGTTTCTTATCGATTGATACTGATGATTTCCAACTCTCACAACCATAAGTTAGCACTGGGATCACACAGGAATTGAAGACCTTAAGTTTCGTGTTGTTGCTGAGTGATCTTGACTTCCAAATGTTTGACAGTTTGTTAAAGGCACTTGATGCTAACGCGATTCGAGTCGTTATTTCTGATGTTGTATCTCCCGCAGAGGTTATCTTACTCCCTAAGTATGTGAAGCTGGTGATTTTTTCAAGAAAAATATCCTTTAGTTTGATGTCTTTCGACTCGTTGGTAAGATCGATGATTTTCGTTTTTGGCTGCGTTGACCTGAAGGCCGATTTGGCTTGAAATATTCTGGAGGCGGTCCATTTTTTCCTGAGCTTCTAGATGTGTTGTGCTCAGGAGTGCTAGGTCGTCAGCAAAGTCAAGATCTTCGAGAACTTTGTCGACCCATTTGATGCCTAGATGTGTGTCCTGTGTGCATTTGCGCATGACCCAATCGAGTGCTATTCCGAAAAGCATCGGTGACAAGACACATCCTTGTTTCACGCCTGTTTCTACTGGGAACCAATCAGAGTTACCAGATTCCGTTCTAACAAGGCAGCGGGAATCGGTGTAGAAGGCCTTTATAATATTGACATATTTATCTTGGAAACCATAGATTGTGAGTAGCTTCCAGAGTGTAGGGCGGTGTATGCTGTCAAAGGCCTTCTGAAAATCAACAAAGTTGATGATGAGTTGGGATTGAAACTCTACTGACTCTTCTACGATGGTCCTGAGTGTGAATATATGGTCGATGAATGACCGATTCGGTCTGAATCCTGCTTGTTCTTCTCGGAGTCTTGCATCTATTGGCTTTTTCAGTCTCTGCATTAGCTTTAAAGCTAGAAATCTGTTTCTGTAACAGTGGATGTTTTACGATGGCGGCTTGTTAGGCTACCGATCAACGGACTGGAGACAAGCTTGAAGGAAAACATCCCTCCATCTTGAAACCGGAACCGGATCTTCTTTTAGACAAGAACATTTAAAATACAATGATAAACTGAAACTTTAACAAGTTTGTACAAATCATTGCATAGAAAATTAAAAGATTGACACGTGATAGCAAGTACTGGAGCTTTTTTTATTCTTTATGTTCCAGTTCTTCTGCGTTCAACATTTATATGGTGACTGTTACGTTTTTTGTGTGCGGTTGTTGTGGTTTAGAGCTGGGATGCGTATTTCAGCCCGACCAACACAGCCTTAACTAATCACCTTTTATGACAAACTTGCTAAGAGGCAGTGGGGCCTTTTCTTGTTTTTTCCTCCTAGTAGGACCCCAACACCCACACAGGGAGCTTACTTACTTCTAAAACATGTGACCAGGAACCAGCAAAATAATTGTATTAATTATTTCAAAAGCAGTATGTAAGGCAAGTAAAATAAAACTGAAGGTCAAACAGGCTATAGTTTCAGATATTTGGATGAATGAAGTTTAACACCACCAGGACCACACAACAAGTGATAAACACCCACTGACACAACGTGCCGATATTCGGATAAGGATCACCCAGGAACAGGTCCCTGAAACCCTGTTCAACTTCTAGGGTATGTTTGGGGCTCCCGACAACAGTCGGGGTTGGTCTCTAACTGACTGACTTTCTACCTCACCAGGACATCAGACACTCTCCCCCAGAGGCCATTACCTTGTAGTGATGGGGTAGCTTGAGAGCCTCAATGATCTAATGAGCTATGCCGGCGGGAACGTATGTTCCTGGTAGGGTCACCCAAGCCGGATAGGTCATTGGTGAGGGGCCAGACTAAAGATGGCCTCCCGGTCCTCCAGGCTCGAGGGTTGGGCGCAGTGTTGACAGCTCTGCCCTGAAAAAAATTTACAGCGTTACTGAAACTTCAAGAGGAAATAAGTGCTCTAAACGTCCGGTGGTCTTGGGACAGAGGCCCTCTGTCAGCATGAACAGCATCTTTGACATGGAAAACTGCACTGAAGATTGCACAGGACAGGAAAGCATGGAAAGTCCTCTCTGAAGCCTCATGTGCCACTAGGCATAACGAGAACTGATGAGGACATCAGACAAGCGATAAACACCCGATGACACAAAGTGCCACCATGTGGATGAGGATCACCCGTGGAGAGGTCCCAGAAACCGCGTTCAGCCATCAGACCATATTTATGGCTGGGCTATATTGCGGCCCCTGGCAAGAGCCAGGGTGGGGCTTCAAAATAGAGACAAATTGCATCTCTCAAGGAGAAGACGAGATTAATAAAGTGTGTCTTTAAACCAACAACTACTAAAATATGTCTCATACTTGGGGCGGAGCTACTGTTAATGTTAGACACATACTTACAGTGAGTGTCAGTAGTCCAGTAAAGGAACATATGTTTGTATGTTTCAATTTACTACTACTATCTGACCTAACAGAATCATATGTTATCATAACATTGCTTCATGTCATAAATGTATATTTCACACATATATCCACACAGAATGACTTTCATTTGGCCAAGCAGCGGTTCCAGACGATGTCGGTGACACTTTCTCAACAATCCTGGTTTCTCATTGCCTCCCTTTGTTGCTTAGTATTCACCACGTGAGTTGTTGCTAAAGTACAAAACACTTTTTAAAAATCAGCCAGTAGATTAATTTGTTGCATCTATAATTTGTGGGCGTGCTGTCTCCCCATTAAAGGTTGGCTAAATATCCCAAATGCAGTCCTTGGCAAATATTACAATGATGACGCTAACATCTTTCCCATGATTAAGTCAATTATCGAACTGTAAATATTCACACACATGGCAGAAACTAAATACTGAACAATGTTTACATTTCCTTACACTCACTCTACCTTTTTCCTACATTACCCATCCTCTTGTGGGATACAATTTTTTAGTTATTTTGAAGCCCCACCCTGGCTTTTGACGGGGGCTTGAAATATGACCTAACAGGTGAACAGGGTTTCCGGGACCTCTCCACGGGTGATCCTCATCCGCATGGTGGCAATCCGTGTAACCGGGTGTTTATGGCTTGTGTGATATCCTTGTAGGGTACTTACCTACATTCAAATATGTATCTCTCTACGTTTTACACGGTAATGCACTCAATAATACTTAGAGCACTGTATTGTGTTGCTGAAATAGAATATAAGATTTTAAATATACTTAAATGTATATCATTAGTAATTACATATTCCAAATGTCCTGAGAAGTAAGGTCAACTAACGTGTCACATCTTCCACCAAGAGCCATTTGCTTAAAAATAAAAACAATATGGAGAAAAACGATAATCTTAATGCCTTTGAAGATGCAAAAATTGTCTTCTTTCAAAGAGAAGAAATAGATTTTTGTACACTTATAAGGTATTGTGTACAGCTGTATTTTTGCATCAACACATGATGTGCACACATTAAACAGTTGTTAACACTTTGCATGAAATATAGACCATATTGCACATTTTAAAAATGAGAAGATTTTACTAGTATTCATCATACCAAATTATGCGTTGCATGAGTCATTTGTATAGTTGCATATCAAACACAGTGCATTGTCAAAGACTAAAAAAAAGAGTTCATTAAACTGATCCTCTCTCATTTAAGGGGTCACTACACGGAATTTTTTTTTTTTTTAAATTTATGACAAAAATATAACTTTTACAATGTGCTCTTTTTTGTAAAGTTCGACATTCGTAGAATATATTTTACACAAGATTTATGTCATTTATAAACAATTTAGCATTGAAAAGTTAATAATTAAGACACCATCCCATGCGCTTTTTTGAGACAATTTTTTTTAAAAAAGTTTTCTCAGTTCCATATTTCTGTTTTGTTGTGTGTGTAAAATCCTAAAATCTCAGTTAATATAAATACTAGAAACATGCAATTTTGTGTAAATACTCCTTAAACTATATTATAGGTTCAGATATACTTAAAAGTAGATTTTAGAAAGTTTAAAAAAAATTTAATTTAGTTATCATCTTATGATGCTATATTTGTTTACCTTTTCAGCAAACCTACATTTTAAAGTTCTGAGAAAATATTTAAAAACATTTTAAAAGTAAATAAACTATAACTGTACCTCAACACAGAATTAAATTTCATGATTCCACCATCTATTTTTGTTTGTTATATTTGTTTTCGAAATTTTAGGATTCTAAGCACATGATGTTTTTTCCCCCAAAATGGTGGCTATTGCCATGGCAACTATGATTTTTGTAAACTTAAAGTATGCTAATGTATTAACATATATCCCAACAAATGACTATTATAGAATAATTGGTCTAACACTTGTGTGTGTGTGTATTTCAATGTTTTTTGATAGACATATTATAAATAACTTACATATATGATAATTGTCTAAACGAAAACATGAGTTGACAGAATTGTTTCATTTCCAGGATTTGTGGAATTCAGCACATACAACGTGGTAGTGCAGAAAGACCATTGAATCTGTTTGAGTCTGTGTACTTTGTGGTGGTGACCCTGTCAACCGTGGGCTACGGAGACATTTCACCTGACATATGGCTGGGTCAGCTGTACATGATCATTATGATTTGTATTGCCTTTTCCTACATCCCTAGACAGGTGAGAGATGCTGTATATATTATGATATACCGGGCAAGGGGGAACTTACTCTACATGAGTTGGACAGGTATTCGGCCATGCTAAAAGGTTAAACTTTTATGTCATTTTTACCCTTTTGCACGTGAAACACTAAAAAAAAAATTAATCGCATTTTTGTGAGAATTCTATTTTTAAATCCTGTTTTTAAAAAAAAGGTTAAGTGTGTCTCATGGTAGTGGGAAACAAATGACAAGTAAGGTACTAATGCAGTCTGGAAGAATAGATGAATAATAGACAGAAGTAATACATCAACAGTTTACCTACTACAATTATGGATAATGAAAAGTCTCTGATTCTGACCAGATTAAGTGACTTTGAAGTTAAGCCTGGCAAAATACCTCTCCCTCTCTCTCTCTCTCCCTCTCTCTCTCTCTCTCTCTCTCTCTCTCTCTCTCTCTCTCTCTCTCTCTCTCTCTCTCTCTCTCTCTCTCTCTCTCTCTCTCTCATCTTCGAGGTAGGTGAAGATAGAAATCACTATGATCAGCTTTGAATAGTAGCTATCAGTTGAGGCACCTGGTGTGTCTGCTGTATGGAGGACAGTGAATGGATGGGAGACCTTAGTGTGCACTGACATCAATTGTGATGATATACCGTAAAATGAAAGCACGAGCAAAGTCATATAACTCTCTATTTCTTTCTGGCATATGATATTTAATAAAGTTTTCTTTGCTTATATATTTATTTGTTACTTTATTGTTCAAGCACGTGACATAAATATTTATGTTTCTTTTGCCTAATATTTCTTTAAATAATTCTCACACAGCTCCATTATATATTTCTGTTTATATGCTCCTTATTTTCAATTAATTTCCATCGTTGGGTTTGAAGAAAGTTCTAGTTAACTCCTACATCTGTCATTACTTTATTTTCATATTCTTCTGCATTCACCCTTCAAATAGTATTGTGGTCTATAGCTTGGCTGCAATATCTATGCCTTTCTGTCCAACACCTCCAATTTTAGCAAACTCCCACTTAGTCAGCTTTTAGGACATGCTTGTTTAAGGAGTAGGGAATCTGTTCTGCCCCCTCCCACTCCCACCCAAATGGGATCTCAGAACACGCAAGGAGAAGCACCTGAGATTATTGTTGACCTTTGTGACAATAATATTCTCAACATTCTTCTGCAAACTACACCATCACTGCCTCCAGTTTTCTCATCATTTAATTATTCATTGTTTAACACTTTTAGGTGTATAGGGCATATAGGGCTAGACCTATATTTTTATAGACCAATCGGCACAAGACGGGTGATGTGGTCAGCATCACGCCAGCCGCCTGTACTTCCCAGGACTGCACCCAGTACCCACTCAAGGTTGGGTCGACCTGGGAGCCAAGGTCATTTTTGAAATTGTCCGGCTCCGCCAGGGAGCGAACCCGCAATCTTCCGACCCGCGGTGAGCGTTTAGCCGCTCGGCCACGGTGACTCCCGTTTACACTTGAGTATATATATATATATATATATATATATATCTTTTCTATTTTTAATTTGTGTATTAAGTGTTAAATTTGTCTATTTATTGCTGTGTGTACTTTGTTCTGTTAACGTTAAACACCCACGATGTTATTTGTTTATGTTGATGGTCTTGTGTGTATGTGTGCACAGTTACAACAGTATTTTAGCTAAGCATTTCTGTGTGTCCACTCTTGACCAGGTTGAGGAGATTGGTTCAACATGGGCCCAGAGAAAAAGAATGGGAGGGGACTACAGCAAGAGAGCATCAGCCAGAAATAAGCATGTAGTTGTTGTTGGTTCTCAGTTCACCACAGAATCTGTCATGAGCTTCCTGGATGAATTCTTCGAGCACCCAAAACTGGAGGTACTGTCCGATAATGTACAGTCGTATTAACAATTCTTTTTTCACCATGTGGGTTCCAGGGTCCCATTATGGGGGAAACAAGAATAGACCCACTGTCTGCCTAAAAGCATGTCGTAAGAGGCGACTAATTGGGAGCTTCCTTCGAAGTCGGAGTACATCTGCCTGAGAGGCAAAGAACCATCAGTATGCATGCAAATGAGTCAGACCAGTGAAATGAATGTACATGCAACACTCAGTTTCTGAAACAGGACTGGAGTCCAGAAGCGGACGAACACCCAGAACTCTCCATCAGAATTTGCAGCCGGTGAAAGTGAAGAAGAAGAAGATTACTGCCTTACATATTTTACTGAGCGTATTATCACATTGCTAAAAGTTCCCCAATTTTTTCAATAGTCATAAACAGTATAAGTAATCGGTACATATTCTGGGGGAGTCAACGTTGTGCAGCTGCCAAATGCTCGCTTGCGAATCGGAAGGTGGTGGATTAAGTTCCTGAAGGACCAAACTTTTTTTTTCCAGCCTTGAGTGGGTATCAGGTACAGTCCTGGGAAGTAAAGGTAGCTGGCGAGATGTTTGTGTGCATGCTTGTGCATGTGTGTCTGTGTGCATGTCTGTGTTTGTGTGTCTGTGTTTGTGTGTCTGTGTGTGTGTGTATGTGTATGTGTCAGTATGTGCATCTGTGTGTGTGTGTCTATGAATGTGTCTGAAGGTGTGTCTGCATGTGTCTCTGTGTGTGCCTGTTCCTGTGTGTGTGTCTGTGCATGTGTGTCTGTGTGAGTGATGTGTATGTCTCTATACGTGTATGTGTCTATATGTGTGTGTCTGTTTGTGTCTGTGAGTGAGTCTGTGTGCGTGGCTGTGTGTGTCTCTGTGTGTTAGTGTGTCTGTGGGTATGTTTGTATGTGTATCTGAATGTGTGTTCCTCTGTGTGTATGCGCCTGTGTATGTCTATGTATGTGTCTGTAGGTTTAAAGAAAAAGACACCCCCCTCCCCCACCACCCAAAAAAAAAGATTGAGATGGTTTTTTGAAATTACAAATTAATATAACACTCAGTCTTATTTTAGGGAGAGGGTTGGGAATAGGAAGGGGATAGTTTTACAAAAAAATTATCTACATTTATTTCTCCATCAGAACTACACTGTGATCTTGATGAGCTCTGAAGAACTTGATGACAATATGCAGTTTATTTTGAAGGATCCAAAATGGGCTCTCAGGGTTTTGTATATTCGAGGATCAGCTTTGAAAGATATAGATCTAAAACGATGCAGGTAATTGTGATGAAGTGCTATGCATTAAATCGTAAACTTATGCTGTAATTGTGTATTTGTGAGTTTGCAGGGACCGCTTGGATCAACAGAATAAGATGTCGATGTATTAGGCACCAGAGGGGCAGGGAACAGAGAATCATGAGACAGTCGCATATGGAGGGGTTAAGAAACAAGGCTCTCCTTGCACCTTTAGATGCAAGCTGGACGGCTTAGGTCGGCTTAGTGGGAGTTCTCTCCCTTGGCCGCATTGACAACAACGAGCAGAAAAGTCACGAATCAAATGACATACTTACCTATCATCATCCGGGTGGGTGTAGGGTTGCGTACAGTTGCGTGTAGGGTTGCGTAGTCATCATACGGTTGCGTCTAGGGTTACCTATCATCATACGGTTGCGTGTAGTGCTGCGTAGGGTGTCTATCATCATCATACGGTTGCGTGTAGGGTGTGGGTTGGGTTTAGGGATAGGGTTAGGGGTAGGGTTAGGGGTAGGGTTAGGGGTAGGGGTTAGATGTGAAAATGGTGACGTAGCACTTCCAAATACTGGGCGACAATCTGATGCTTGTGGGAGTGGCGCCACTGGAAGTGTGCCAAATATGACGGCAATAGCGCGCGGCTTGTGCCCAATCGGTGGCGAATTGTCCGTTTCAGTAGCATCCACCGTCCGCCGACTGTTTGGGTGTGTATGTAACTGTGTGCCATTATAGGGAACTACGGCATCAAAATTGTCACATCTAACGCTAAACCTAACCCTAACCCTACCCCTAATCCTAACCGTAACCCTACCCCTAACCCTAACCCTACCCCTAATGCTACCCCTAACCCTAACCGTAACCCTAACGCTATTCCTAATCCTAACCCTAACCCAAACCCTAATCCTACCGCTAACCCTAACCCTACCCCTAACCACGCAAATTTATCGGTCATTAAAGCATACAGATCGGCAAAAAAAAAAACAAAAAAAAGATTTCCCAGCAGCGTCGAAAGAAAAACCCTGATCTGGGGGACACAACCAAGCATTGGCAGCCCTGATGTCGACCTCACTGTCTTGTTTGATTCGTGACATTTTCCGCTACTTGTTTTCAATGCAGCCAAGGGAGAGAACTCCCACTAAGCCGACCTAAGCCGTCCAGCTTGCGTCCAAAGGTGCAAGGAGAGCCAGAAACAAGGACATTCAGAAGAAACCCTAAGACAAATGTTGATGAGAGAGGCCAATTGCACAGGACTGAATAGAAAGGGAAGAATGAAATGTGAACCGTATGGGACTGAAGTTTCCAAACAGCGTGACTCCCATCATAGACTTCACATTTGTGTGAATTACCTGGTCGTGAACAGTGTGGGCCATCTTTAAACTGTAATTATAACATCGACCTAATTCTCTGCACATTTATGTTGCATGCTTAATATTCTTGACATCCTTAACAACAAAGTTGGTAGATTATAAAACAGTGGCATGACTATTTTCTATCCCACTCTTAAGTTATTTAATCCCCTTGTGAGAGTCTGCGATTTTTATTTACTTTGTTTTTTCTTAACCTTCCGCACTGTGTTGTTATAGTAATTTTATTTCTGTTTCTAGAATCAATGAAGCCGAAGCTTGTTTCTTCCTTGTTAACAAGAAGAGCTCCAACATGGAGAAATCTGTAAGATTTAAATAATTTTTTGTTTTACATATTTGCATGAAGGATTCATTTTCGTTGACACTATGTTAAACAGTATGCGTGAAATCTGACCCTGATTAGAAACTTTTAGTTCATACAATAGGAACGACTGGTCAAATAGTTCAGAGTTTTTGTGCTTTCGTGTGGAAGACCCTGGATCATTTGATATGTAGAGGTATCTTGGAGTGGCTGCTGCATCAGGGGACTGAGCACGCATGGGGATTCCCAGTTTGCAGATTGATTGTGATAACATAACATAACCAAGACGGTCTCCATCTGACGGGTTATGCTAATGACGTCCTCAGCTTGACGTGACGTCACCAAACCAGGCTTTTATATGACAACATAGAAACACAAAGTACAACAGAAACTAATTACATTTTTTAGCTTCAGTATGTCCCATAATTTAGTCATATAATCCTCTCTAAATTTGAATTATTGAGTTAACTTGGCCAGTTTTCTTTTCTTGGATGATTTATCCAGCAAGGATGTATCGTTTTGGACTTTCTTATATACTTTCGATAAATTTTCTAAAACGTCTGTTTTACATAGGACCAACACACAGTTCTAAGATCATGGGCAGTGAAGGATTTTGCTCCCAACTGTGCCCAGTACATTCAATTGTACAAGGCTTCTAATAAAATACATGTCAAATTTGCAGGTAAGTCATGTTTTTATGTTTCTGCTTCTAATATTTCCACTTGCCAGATTGCCCTAAAAAAAAATATCTTTTATATCTTCTTCTTTATGAAAGTGTTGATTTTCATGGTTTTGTATCATTATTTACAATGGTCATCACATTTAGATTATATACAGTGCTAAATATGTTTTATTATTTCTATCAGTCATTTTCATCATGTTCCATGGTGATAAGTGTAGGCTGTCATCTTTCACATGATCAATAGAATCACGGATCAGGTCTTTGCCCGATCTACATGACCAAGTCTTCCATGTATTTATCTCTTAGTCATCCTCTTACTCTTTTCCCACCTATCTTGTCAGTCTTCAGTGAGGTTCTCGGATGCATTGCTTCTCAGAATATGTACACAAAAAACATCCCCTAGTCATGATTTCAGTCAGTATGTGAGAAAAGATTTCAATATCTTTTGGTGAAAAAATACTTCAAGAAGATAATTGGTCAGTAACGTAGGTAAAAAGGGGTTAACAAATGTAACAGATAGAGAAATAAAAATATGAGTACAAAATGCAAGAGGAGTTTTCATAGCACTAGAAAATTTATTCAGATATGAAGAATTTAACACTAGTATTAAATTTGAGATATTTAGCTCTGATGTTAAATAAGTACTGTTGTATGGGGCTGAAGCACTGAGAACAACAAAAAACAGCTAATAATAAACTAAAATTCATTAACTGGTGGTTGCACAGATTAACAGGACTTAAGTGGTATAACAGAATCACAAATGTAGAGCTTTGGGACGAATCTAAACTAACAAATTCCAGTAAACCAAGAGGTGAGGACAAAATGTTGGTGTTGGATAGGACACATGCTGATAACACCTGATAGAAATGTATCTAGACTGCCTTTGCACTGTTGGGCTGCATTGATATTGACAGTGGTATTGAATCTCGACCTTTCAGAGAGCAATGTGAAACTACTGAACGTAAAAATCATCATCATCAAGTACCTCTCTGAAGGAGTGGGCGATCATGCCTCTCCACAGTCTGGGATCCGCAGCTCATGTAATAGTTCATATGTAGATATCCCTCCATGCCATGACAAAAGGATGTCAGGAAACTGCTTGTGCTGTCGTCCTCTGCCTCTCTTTCCGCGGATTTTTCCAGTGATTCAGTTTCCCTCTTCTCATAACATGATCACAAATTGATCTTTCTGATGTTTGTGATACGATGACTTTGAGCCCTCGCCTTTTTCAAAACATCTGGGCTGCTGTTTTTGGCTGTCCAAGGCATTCTAAGGATTCTTCTGTAAAACCACATTTCGCAGGCCTCAAGAAATTGTTTGACTTGTTCCCTCAATGTCCAGATTCACAGCCGTATATTAAAACTGGCTCTTATATTGCATTCAATAAATTTTTCCTAACCTCTAATGCATAAATGTATTGCATAATCTGTTCTTCATTTTATAAAATGCAGTTTTAACATAAAATTACTTGGTAAACTTAAACAGCCAGGGAAAAAAATTACTCGTTCTATAACCTCCTGTAAAGGATACGCACCTAACTTTTTTTGTTTTCAAACTGGATCCCACAAGGTTAGAGGAAGAAGGGCAGACACCCCCCCCCCCCCCCCCACCACCCAGTCCATACTCAGAGGAGTAAATTAGAGAATGAACTCAGCTTTATTTCGGTGATGTATTTGTAACAAGGAAAATTTTTTATCATTTAAAAAACGTTTAGTTGTGTAATTTTGTAAGTATATGTACGTGTCTAAAAGAAATAATAATAATAAAATATCTTGGGTCTGAAAGAAACTGAAAATCTGGTAATTACTTGCCTTTTGCAATCCACAATCTCACAATGTTGTCATTGTGTGCTCATACTGTACATTGATTTCCTAAAACAGAACATGTAATCAGCGAAGATGAATTTAAGTTTGCCTTGCTTGCAAACAATTGCCTCTACCCTGGCCTGTCAACTCTAGTCACTTTGATTTTACACTCTTCAAAAGGAAAGTAAGTTTGTTGTTGTCTGCTTCTTTACTCACTCTTTGAGTGCCATTGCTAAAATGTTTTTATTCACATATAAACTTGCTAAGACAGGGAGACAATTTGAACAGGAAGACAATGTAATAACATACATTGATAAAGGGGTGCTCTTTGGGAGGGAATGAACAGTACGGAGGCACACTAAGATTATCATGGTCTTAATAGAATGGTACAAGAGGAAGTGACTAGAGGATCTGGCCAACACTCCACACTAAGAGGAAGTACAAGACGAACACACAATCAGACTGTTACTGGTACCATCAAAGTTGGAACTCTTCGATTGCTGCTGAAGAGGGGGAACAAAGCGCTTATGGGAATGTCCAGAGTGCTGTGATGTAAATTCTAAAACTCAACTCAACTCAAGAGTGGGGAAAAAAGTGTTTGGCAGCTGACACTCATTTAAAGAAGATCATGCGGACATTTATAAAATATATGGACCTGGTGTATGTACCAGTTCTTAATAATCTCGAGTGATCTTAGTGGGCAGATGCCCTTTGCGCCTAAAGGCGTGGAAACGTGTCCTTTACCTTTACATTATTTACCTTCCTGAGAAAAGTCGAGTGCCTACTAAGATGGTATTTTGTCCTAGTTGAAGCTCATCAGGTTTAAAGTTAGTTAATTAGTTGCGTATCCTTTACATGACATTGCAGAACCAACCCCAGCATTTTTTGGTTGTTTTAGTTTTTCTAGGCAAAATTACGTCTAGCATCAGGTTTAACTATTACTAAAAATCTAGACGCAATCTGGCCTGTTCCAACCACAATGAGGGCATAGCTGTATGATACACGAAAAGCTGGACTGCACGATAGCTTTCATAAAGGCTACCAGCCTCCTGATATAAGTTTTCTAACAGACGGATTGAAGAAGAAAAAGACTAAAAATCTGTCCAAAGAACTTTGCTTCTGCCTTCAGCTGAAGATGTTTTTGGAAATGTGACCTTGTCACTCCAGACAATGCTGTGACAGCTTGCCTGGGTTTTGTTGTGGGGAAACGACTTTGCAAAGTCTTTGACATCTATCCTTGTCTTTATCTTGTGAGAAGTAAACGAAGATAACATGCAGTGTCATCATTATCTTTGACTCATACAGGTTCTAGAACTTGGATGGTATTCCAAATTAATTTTAAATAACAATTACAAGTTTTTGCATCTAAACAAGTAAAATACCAATTTAACTATATACCAATATGAATGTATGCTGAGGTTCAACTCTGTGTGTGTGTGTATACATTTATTTATATAAATATATGTATATGTGTGTGTGTGTGTGTGTATATATATATATATATATATATATATATATATATATATATATATATATATATATATATATATATATATATATATATATATATATATATATATATATATATATATATATATATACATATATATATACATATATATAGGCTCTCTTTTGAATAACGGTCCCAAATTAACTACGCAGACAGTTTACCCAAACAGAGCCTTATTACGTCCTGCCCTACAAACATTTGAAAGCCGCAACTCGGGAAATATAAGGACCGAAATATGTAAGGAAAAGGGCAAAGTCTACTACTTACCGACAATTAAATCCTTTTTATGTGAAAATTGTGAAACACTAGTTGCAAATAGTGTGCGAATATCTGTTCTTTCTTGCTGTCCCCTATTCCAACTCAGCACGGCCTATCCACGATTCTCATTCCAGGCGAGACATGATCAGCTGTAATGCGTGGTTTACTGTACGCGCATGTCGCCTCGGACAACTTCAAACTAGCAGCCGCCACGATGGCGCTGGTAGTTCCAACAGAAGAAGTAGCTCCTGTAAATTTTTGACTTTTTTCCGGCGACTATAGTGCCACCTCCGAGAGTATCCCCCGCGCCGCTACGCGGAAGAAGCTAAACTAGATGGCTAGGACTCACGAGCAAATACATTGAAGGAAGCTGCAGGAGCTGCGGTAGCTGCTGCTCGTGAGTCCTAGCCATCTAGTTTAGCCCCTTCCGCCCGCGCATAGCGGCGCGGGGATACTCTCGGAGGTGGCACTATAGTCGGCGAAAAGCGGTCCGCAAGTTACATATAACTTGGGCCCTGCCGTAGGATAGCGCTATTGGGAGTATTCTCGCGTGTCGCTAATTTTTTTCGTGTTTCGTCCATAGTTAATCCTAGTTTTGCCGCCGTGTAATTGCCGTAAGAAGATCCGTTGCGTTTCGCGAATATGTCGTGCGCAGTTAGTCCTACTTTTGACACGGTTGACTCGCCGCAATAGACATGCAACTTTTATATATGAGTGAGGCTCTGTTTGGGTTAACTGTCTGCGTATTTCATTTGGGACCGTTATTCAAAAGAGAGCCTATATATATATATTTATATTAACACTGATATACATATATATATATATGTGTGTGTGTGTTTTGATATTTTGCCACTGTTCTCATGAGCACTAACAGACCCCTCTTATATATACACACACATACTCTATATATATATATATATATATATATATATATATATATATATATATATATATATATATATATATATATATATATATATAAATAGAGAAAGAGAGAGAGAGAGAGAGAATCAGTATTTTGCTAATGTTCTAATCAGCACAACCTCATTCCTATTACTTTTGCTTGACCTCAGCGACAACTCCTGGGCTCCAGAGCAGTGGCAACAGACCTATGAAAAACACTCTGGAAATGAAATCTATCACATACAGCTACAACGAAGTGTATTTTTCAAGGACTATGAGGGGAAGAAGTTTACTTTCGCGTCAGCAGATGCTCATAAAAAGTAAGATTATTATTTCGTTATTTTTTTAATGAGAGTGTGTTCCCCGTGTGGTGTCTGGGCCCATTGCAGGGTATGGGAGGTGGAGATCCCCTGCCAGCTGTGTTAATGCAATGCTAATTTGAGACATAATCTATGATGCACGATAGGAACGTTCAGCAGGAATCTTGTATGAGGTTCCATAAAATCAGAACACAAAAGTCTGACCCCCAAGGTGAGCTAAGAGTATCTATTTACATACATCCAATGTACCTTCCCCTCATGCCTGTGACCGAAATCACCGCGCCACTGATAATAATCCACCTGTCTACATTTACATTCATTCGCTGGATAGTTTTATGCACGACCTTGGCTCCCACGTCAACCCAGCTTTAAATGGGTACCATGTAGAATCTGGGAAGTAAAGGTGGCCAGCTTGATGTGGACCTAATCACCGGCTGATGTATGAAAATATTAGTCTATGTTTACATTATCATTAACTCTTTCAGTCCCAGGCATGCATTTTTTAAAGTCCTCATTTCGGAAGCAGTCAATGGTTCTTCTTCTTCACATTCACCAGCTTTAAACTCCAGCGGAACGTTTTGGTTGCTAGTCCACTTCTGGACGTCAGTCTTGTTCCAGAACTTAGGTTTTCTGTGCACATTTGTTTTATAGATCTGGCTTATTTGTATGCAGACTGTTAGTTCCTCGCCTCTCAGGCAGATGTTCTCTGACTTTGAAGGAAATACACCTAATTATCCATCACTCACAACATACCTGTTAATGGGCAGTGGGTGTATTCTCTCCCCCCCCCCCCCCTTCCCCAACAATAGGGTCTTGAAACCCACGCGGGTATAAAACATTAACACAGTAGGGGGAGTAAGAACTGAATTAACTGTTGGGATGACATGGGTTAAAGCTACAACTTTATAGTGTACAAGACGCTCAGCTAAACACATCATACCAGACAACCCTAATAAACGCATGATAAATGGCTTGGTCCTGCCATAACAAACTGCCATTGCCTTATTTATCACTTTTGTGGTATAGGTGAGGGCCTTTCAGCTTGAGTATTTAGGGCCAAATGGCTGGTGCTGTCGCCAAGGACTGAGCATGTAAGGAATTTGTTTTTGCTGCTTGTTATGAAAGCTGAAATATTTTGGCTACATAAAGTGCCAAGGTGGATTGGAAAAATTAATAGCAAAGGCATGGTACCAGGAAGGAGGGGATAGGGCCAACTAACATGAAGATGGGCACAGGATATTTGTGACTCCTTAGATTTGAAAGTGCACCAGGGGAAGAACTGGCGAGAGACTGTGTTTCTTACATGCAGACCATGATGAGAGCGACTTTCTGCAAAGAACCTGCTGAATGATGGGGAGGGTAATACAAGAGTTAAATCTGAGGTTTTTATTATCAATGTTATCTCCTTATGTAGGGCTTCCATATCAATACATTCTGCAGAAAACTGTCAGATTCAAATGACTGTCTGTCTGCTTGCAGATACGGAATCACTCTATTGGCTGTATATGATAGCACAGCTCTAGAGGCCCAGCTTCAGCTCAACCCTGGACCAGACTACATACTGAAGAGCTACGATTACTGCTTCTACATGAGTCTGGAGAAAGAAGAGAACATTAAATTCTCACCTAAGGCTCTTATGGAAGACAAACAGAACACTGGTGGCTCCCTGGCTGCTGAGTCCAGAGAAAAGAATATTGGTGAGTGGTGAAATGTGCCTCATTATTATTTTGTGAGGTTTTGTACAAAGGTCTTTTTATTAAACCTTTGTAGACGGAACCTTTTTGGAGTTTCAGTGCCAAGAAAGGGGGTGATTCTTTTTGTTTACACACACACACACATGCGCACATGCACATGCACGCACATGTGCACACACACAACACACAACTATATACAAAAAATAAAGCATTTAATTAACATATACAAAACTATATATATTTGTGTAGGAAATTAAATAAGCTATCAGAATATTTATAAATCATACTGAAATCTCAACATTTATTCAAATTAGCTATCGAATTTGCATATTCATACATGCATGTTTTTATTACTTGGAACAAGCATAACTAAATAGAACAATCTGGATAAATTTTCTGACAATGAAGCCTGAATAAGTTCTTATACTTGTGTTTTGGCCCTCCAGACACCTCTGACACATGGTTCTACTCCATGTGCTTGTCCTGAAACCCTGAACTTCCTGTGCACTTTCCTGCCTCCCGCTATATTTTGGTTGCAATGAGCCAACAGTCCTTTTCAACATTGTTGGTCGCAGCAAAGTGCCCCCCCCCCCCCCCCCCCCTCTTTGAATTTACTATTTAGAATTAAAGTGTAAACAAAAAATTCCTAAATGTTATGTCTTGAATTTATGTGTAAATAGAAAAAAAAAATTAATTTGTCAGTTGATGGTTTATAATGTGAATTGTCAAATTGTTTTTAAAAACAATCATCTGCTTAACATCTGCAGCTCTCATTGTGAAGGAGATGACTAAATTAATGGAAGGAAATGACGGAGGAAGTGGCGGTGCTACAGATGATGAGTCTGTCTTTAGCACTATCACATCCAACATGGGAAGTAACCTGGGCAAGGCTTTGAGGAAAGGCCTTGAAGGTATAGATTTATTTTGTTTCTTGTGTTGAAAACAGGCAAAAGTAAAAACTGTTTTGTTAATGAAATGTTAAAATGTATTACTGGAATTCGCACTTTTTCAGTCTTGCCAGATGATAGTGTTAAACGGTGCTGCAGAGAGGCATGAGAATCACAGTCCTAATGATGGCCAATGACAAGCTAGATGTTGTGAGGGCCCTTTGGGAGTGAGTGAACAGTGCGGAGGCACATATAGATCATTACGGTCTGAGGAGAAAGGCACTGCAGGAAGTTACCAGGGGGTCTGGCTGATGCTCAACACTCAAGGAAAAGGCGAGACTGATTTCAGGTACTGGTACCATCAAAATTGGAACTCTTCGTTTGCTACTGAAGATGGGGACTGAGCGCCTATGAAGTGCCACGAGTGCTGTGATGTCAATTCTTGATTCAACATTCAACATTCTGATGATGGCCAATGTGACTAGCAAGACCCGCTCACATTATAAATATTCTTCCAGATAGACTCATCCTCCGAAAAGCTGATTTCCTGTAGGCCACAGTATTCGTCTCAAGTCTGCTGAGTTTGACTTCAGTTATAAACACTTTTCTCACAGCATTAGTTTTTTCTCTAGGTCAGTTGAAAGCCCGGGACACATGTTTGTAATGTATTATGTATGAAACAGAAAATGGAAATGAATTCTTTTGTTTTGTTAATACATTAAAACACATTAATAACCTCTCTCTCTCTCTTTCTCTCCTCCCCACTCTTACTATCTCACACGCGCGCACACACACATACAAACAGATACACAGAAACACACATACAAACACAGATACATACAAACACATGTGCGCACGCACACACACACACAAACGCATATTATATACTGGGCTTATTTTTTCAAGAAGGGAGTCGCTGTGGTGTAGTTAGAGGCTCGCCTGCAGATCGGAAGGTCTTTTGTTCAGTTTCTGACAGAGCCAGACTTTTTTTAAAGTGACCTTGGCTCTCAGGTCAACCCAACATTGAGTGAGGACCAAGTGCAGTCCTGGAAAGTAAAGGCAGTCGGCATGATGCTGACCACATCACCCATCAAGTGTCGATAGGTCTATAAAATATAGGTCTAGCCCTATATGCCCAATGCTAAAGATGTGGAAAAAGGTCCATTACTTTACTTACTTTTTTCTAGAATCACCACCACCCATTGTCTGCTAAAAACAAAATTAACTTTGTTTCACCAGCCGAGCCACTGTTGTCCAGAGACAGACATCACTCCGACATGGGCAGTGCACCAGAAACCCAGACAGACCAGAAAGAATCGTTTGAGCGTGAACATGCGGCGACTGTTCCTTCTAAAATAGTGCAGCATATGATTGACCTGGGAAAGGAAAAGTCAGTATTTTTATTATTGCTCTAAAAATATAACCAAATCACACACATCATCTTTATGTGATCCCAAATGTTAACACTGACAATGTTATATTTTATGTTATGTTATATATTATATTCATCATCAGTTCCCTTTATGTCTAGTCGCACATGGGGCTTCATAGAGGATTTTCCATGCCATCCTGTCTTGTGCAATCTTCAGTGCAGTTTTTCTATGTCACAGATGCAGCACTTAGTCTCAGTTCACCTTCCATTGTTCGTCTCCAAGTTCATTTTTGGGAGCCCCTTCTTTCTCTTTCCCTCTTGTGTCCAAGTGAGAGCTGTTTTGACAGGTATATAGGATATATTTATTACACTGATAAACGAGCTTCATTATGAAGCTTACCTGTTTTTTTTTTTTTAAATAATGTAAGAGTTGCGTTGTTGACTTGAGTTAAGTTATGATCTGACATCACAGCACTCTGGAATTCCCATAAGTGCTCTGTCCCCATCTTCAGCAGCTTGTGCTGAGTTCCATTTCTAATGGTACCAGTAGCAGTCAGAGTGTATATTCATCTTGCTATTCCTCTGAGTGTTGATAATCAGCCAGATCCCCTGGTTACTCCCTGCTGCACTATTTTCTTCAGATCTGTTTGTGCTTCTGCGCTGTTCACTCACACCCAAAGGCTCATAACTACATCTACTTTGTAGAGATAATGTTAAAAAATACTACAATGAAATAAGAAACTATCAATATACCAGTTTAAAAGTAATATTTAAAATTTAACTTCTGAAGGAAATACACAGTTTAATTACCTATTTCTTGAATGAGGCGACAGCAGAAGCCAAACTGAATTGTGGCATGAAGAAGATTCTTTGTACAACATTAATTTAAAATGTTTTTTTTTACTAAAATGAGACCAGTACGGTTAAAAAGGCAGAGTCGCCCCTTCATACAATGCAAGTTTTTGTTATTTGAAGCCCCACCTTTGCTTCTGCCGGGAGCCCTGAGTATAGCCGGTGCAAAAATATGGCCTAACGGCCGAAAGGGGTTTCTCTGGCCTCTCCACGGGTGATTCTCATCCGCATGGTGGCACTTTGTGTCACCGGGTGTTTATCTCTTGTTTGATGACCTGGTGGGGTAAAAAGTCAGCCAGTCAGTCAGTTGAAAAGGAAACATGGCTTTTCATAAGCAAACCACAGGTTTACTTCTAGTCTGATAATGACTTTTTGCTAGTCATTTATCCATGGTGTGAAATAAGTATGAATGGCAGATGTCTTTTACATTTTTTATCTATTTAATACTTCTATATTTATCTGTTCACTGGAAGCAATTTTATCCCTGTAATTACAGTTTTACCATTGGGCCACCACCAAGCACACTGAATCTTGGCACCAGACGCACACTGTGTCATCTGCACAAGGAGGCCCGCCTACTGTGTTGTTTAAAATGGGGAGAAGTATGTTTTATGTCATTAAATAATTGAAATCTGAATGTTATTATTCAGATAATACTATCAGCTCTTTAAATATGGAAAATGATAATCATGTCCTGATGTTTCTCAAGTTTTTTGTTGTTGTTGTTGTGAGGCCAGTCTTCACCCATAATAAATTTTATTAAAAAATAATTTATTGTTGCATTTTAACAAAGTCAAAATTTTCTGAGTCCCCTTTCTTGTGGGGTGCTGGGACTCCATTTTGGAAGGAGAAAAAAAGAGGTGGGGGTGGTGTGTGTGTGAGCTCATTGCACCCTAACAAGCTTGTTGTAAAATATGACTATGAGTTTGATCAAATCAGCAGCGAGGGCCAAAAGGCGCAGATATCGCAGTCTTGTTGTAAACTGCAACACAGCGTCACAACTGGCCAGTTAAGGACAAGTGCAGAAGAGGAAGAAAAAGTAGAAGAAAAAGAATAAGAAGGAGAAATATTCCATTGATAGGTATATATGGCATTTAAATAAACTTGAGATAGCATCAAAATTACTGTTTCTCAATTTTTAATGGTATATTAAAACAAAAATGGACACATCCTAGATAAAAAATGTGGAAATCTAACCATGCTCCTACTGCTGGTATATATTTCCTTCTGTTTCAGACATGTTCTCATTCTTCCTACATATTACTTTCTCTTTCAGCCATGCTGTCATTGCTCCTACATAGTGCCTTCTGTCTCAGCCATGCTGTCACTGCTCCTACACATAGCCTTCTGTCTCAGCCATGCTGTCATTGCTCCTACATATAGCCTTCTGTCTCAGCCATGCTGTCATTGCTCCTACATATAGCCTTCTGTCTCAGCCATGCTGTCACTGCTCCTACATATAGCCTTCTGTCTCAGCCATGCTGTCATTGCTCCTACATAAAGCCTTCTGTCTCAGCTATGCTGTCATTGCTCCTACATATAGCCTTCTGTCTCAGCCATGCTGTCATTGCTCCTACATATAGCCTTCTGTCTCAGCCATGCTGTCATTGTTCCTACATATAGCCTTCTGTCTCAGCCATGCTGTCATTGCTCCTACATATAGCCTTCTGTCTCAGCCATGCTGTCACTGCTCCTACATATCGCCTTCTGTCTCAGCTATGCTGTCATTGCTCCTACACAGTCCCTTCAGTCTCAGCCATGCTGTCATTGCTTATACATATAGCCTTCTGTCTCAGCCATGCTGTCATTGCTCCAACATATTGCCTTCTGTCTCAGCCATGCACTTGTTGCTCCTACATATCACCTTCTGTCTCAGCTATGCTGTCATTGCTCCTACATATAGCCTTCTGTCTCAGCCATGCTGTCATTGCTCCTACATATAGCCTTCTGTCTCAGCCATGCTGTCACTGCTCCTACATATAGCCTTCTGTCTCAGCCATGCTGTCATTGCTCCTACATAGTGCCTTCTGTCTCAGCCATGCTGTCATTGCTCCTACATATAGCCTTCTGTCTCAGCCATGCTGTCATTGCTCCTACATAGTGCCTTCTGTCTCAGCCATGCTGTCATTGCTCCTACATATAGCCTTCTGTCTCAGCCATGCTGTCATTGCTCCTACATAGTGCCTTCTGTCTCAGCCATGCTGTCATTGCTCCTACATATAGCCTTCTGTCTCAGCCATGCACTCATTGCTCCTACATATCGCCTTCTGTCTCAGCCATGCTGTCATTGCTAATACATATCGCCTTCTGTCTCAGCCATGCTGTCATTGCTCCTACAAATCATCTTCTGTCTCAGCCATGCTGTCATTGCTAATACATATTGCCTTTTGTCTCAGCCATGCTGTCATTGCTCCTACATACTGCTTTCTGTCTCAGCCATGCTGCCATTTATTCTGCCTATTACTTTCTATATCATCCATGCTCTCATTGCTTCTATATATTACTTTCTATATCATCCATGCTCTCATTGCTTCTAAATATTACTTTCTATATCATCCATGCTCTCATTGGTTCTACCTATTACTTTCTATATCATCCATCCTCTCATTGTTTCTATACATTACTTTCTATATCATCCATCCTCTCATTGGTTCTATATATTACTTTCTATATCATCCATCCTCTCATTGGTTCTACCTATTACTTTCTATATCATCCATCCTCTCATTGCTTCTATATATTACTTTCTATATCACCCATGCTCTCATTGCTTCTATATATTACTTTCTATATCATCCATCCTCTCATTGCTTCTACATATTACTTTCTATATCACCCATGCTCTCATTGCTTCTACATATTACTTTCTATATCATCCATGCTCTCAATGCTTCTATATATTACTTTCTATATCATCCATGCTCTCATTGCTTTTGCATATTACTTTCTATATCATCCATCCTCTCATTGGTTCTATATATTACTTTCTATATCATCTATGCTCTAATTGCTTCTATATATTACTTTCTATATCATACATGCTCTCATTGCTTCTGCATATTACTTTCTATATCATCCATGCTCTCATTGCTTCTAAATATTACTTTCTATATTATCCATGCTCTAATTGCTTCTATATATTACTTTCTATATCATCCATGCTCTCATTGCTTCTATATATTACTTTCTATATCATCCATGCTCTAATTGCTTCTATATATTACTTTCTATATCATCCATGCTCTCATTGGTTCTACATATTACTTTCTACATCACCCATGCTCTCATTGCTTCTACATATTACTTTCTATTTCAGCCATGCTTTCATTGCTCCTGCACATTATCTTCTGTTTCAGCCGTGCTCTCATTGCTCCTACAAAGTTGCCACTGACAGAAGATGGGATAATCAACTTGTCATCTTATCTGTTCGACAATCATGCCCAGGGCTCTACAATTTTATAATCCCTCTGCGGTCCAATTATCTCAGCCTGCTGTCCCTCAGACCAATCATTATCATGTTTGAAGAAGTGTAAGTGTCCAGAAAAGTTATGCTTTTTGACTGTTAAGACAGGTAATCAGATGGTAAGCACGGTTCCAACTTAGTACCAAACTGAAATTAGGGGGCTGCGTTAGCGCAGTCGATAGAAGACTTGCTTTCAAATCCAGCTGCAACTCGCTGCAGCTTAAGGCCAGTGTTTGAAACAGGGCAGTTTCCGGGGTTCACCCAGCCTCTAGGTAATGGGTACCAGAGTTAATACTCTGGGGTAAATGGAGGAACGTCGCTGTAGCTACGGAGTTGAGTGCAGATGGCATCACAGGCGGACATTCCCTTATCAGCTATCCATACTGGGGGCAGAGCACTTATGGTTTATAACCATGTGCAGTGACGCTGGTTCACATCTCCTAACTTTACTTTAGTAAACTGATCAGCTCATAGTTGCTCGGTTCCTTTACCAGTTAAAAAAAATAAAAGAACAAAAAATACAGATACTGTCCAAGACTATCCCTTATGAAATAATTTAACAAAGACTGCCATCTTAACAAATCCAACAGCATACCTGAGCATTTAATGCATAAGGCAGCAGTAAGAAGTGCCAGTACAACCAGTCCAACTTTAGAAACACAGTTCTTCAGTGATGTTAAGGAGGAGAACCTCATAATGTCTTGCCATATTGTGGAGTTGCAATGTTCACATGAGCATTCAGGTGGATGTTTTTTTTAAATGCCTGATACCCTAAACCTACATTACTTTAAAATAATATGTGATCTCCTTCTTTGCAAGATTTCTGCACTGCGATGTTCTGTATCTTACGCAGAAATAGGATCTGTGTTGCATTTGCCTCCTCTTGCATTTTAAACTATTTGATGCATTTTGATAACATTGTTTCTGCTTCTGAGTGGCAAGTTGTAGTTTTTTTTTTTTTTTTAACGAAACCTTTATAAAATTTGACAATTTTATAGATGTCTGTTGATACTCACGTGTCAGTTTTTTGTTTTTTTTAAATGAAGACAATGGATGACATAAACTGGTGGTTTATCAATGCTTTACTGTATTACTTTTCAAAGTTACACAATTTTCATTTGATCCCACTGTTCACATGTGAACGGAATGTAGGAAATATGAAAAAAAAAACATAAACTGACCACATGATTCTCTGTAAATTACTAATGTTGATGGAAAGCTTGCTGTAAAATTAGTAGCCTCTTTGAGTTGTATGGCAGGGTCAAGCAATGTATTACTAGTACTAAAATCCATATCTATAGAAGGGTAAAGAATGCCCGGGCCATCTTTGAAAAAGTTTCCCTACAAGATATAATTTGAGGAGAATAATTTAATATTACACTAAGGTAATAATGAATCCAAAATGTTAATGACAGACTATTAGTAAGATTATCTTATTGTATCATGTCACAACCCAAATCAAAACAATATGTGAAACAATACAAATTACCTAACCATCATATAAAATAATTACGTGATATATACATATAAAATACCACATATATATACCATGAGAACTCAATTATCACTACATATGCCACTTAAAATCCTGAGTTTTGAACATAATGTTTTTGAAAAATTACATCTACTACTACAGATTCCCAAAATAATGATTTCACACTTGGGTGACTTTGGCATTGTGTCAGCAAGTTATATTCTTGTTTGTTGGTATCATGTTTATCAGCAGCAAACCATTATGGGTCTCATTCACGCATAATTTTCACTTGTTTTAATTTCCACTGTTTCAACAGTCCCACCAAGTTATTTCTACAAACCATTGCCAATTTCCCCCTTGTGTTCTGGATGCAAGGCGCCTTAAGCAAGTAAGTGCCAAAAAACAGCATAAACAGTAAGTCAGTGTCCTTCAAATTTTGAAAATGCATCCGCTGATGTAGCTAGATGCTCACAATCAGGCTCAAAGAATGTGGGTTAAAATCTGCATCAAGTCAGATTTGTTTCAAAAGTGACCTTGGCTCCCAAGTCAGTAAAGTCTAAAATAGGTACCAGGCACAGTCCTGGTAAGTAAAGGCGGACAGTGTGATGTTGACCACATCGCCCACAGAGTGTCGATTGGTCTACAATACAGGTTTATACAGTACAGGTCTATACAATACAAGTCTATACAGTACAGGTCTATACAATACAAGTCTATCAGTACAGGTCTATACAATACAAGTCTATACAATACAGGTCTATACAATACAGGTCTATACAATACAGGTCTATACAATACAGATCTATATAATTCCGGTTCTATACAATACAGATCTATACAATACAGGTCTATACAATACAGGTCTATACAAAACAGGCTATACAATACAGGTTTATACAATACAGGTCTATACAATACAGGTTTATACAATACAGGTTTATACAATACAGGTTTATACAATACAGGTCTATACAATACAGGTCTATACAATACAGGTTTATACAATACAGGTCTACACCTACACTGTTACACAGGGCCCACCTATCTCTCAGCAGACCAGACCTGACCATCTGCTCATCCGACTTAGCAGACGCAAGCTATCCCCAAGTCCTGGACGACATAGGAAGTGACCACAAACCTATACTCACAACTGTAAGCACCACCCCTAAATTACGCTTCAAGCAGAGAACTCGTTGGAATTTCCGAAAAGCAAACTGGAAACTATTTCAGGAAACATCTGACTGCCTCCTGGGAAGAATTGACAACAGCTGTGTGGAAACTTTTTGTGAAGACATAACACAAGCAATCCTGAATGCAGCGTCGAAAGCCATCCCAAGGGGCAGCCGGAAGGCATATAAACCTTTTTGGAATCAAGAAATTCAAAATACTATATCTGAAAGGAATAAAGCAAGAATATTTCTCGAAACTGCACGTTCAACAGAAGCAAAGATCCAATACAATAAAGCATGTGCCAGAGTAAAGCTTGTAGTTAATAAGGCTAAAAGAGATAAATGGACAGAAACTTGCTCCAACTTAGACCTTAGACAGAATGGAAATAAAGCATGGACTTTAGTTAAAAACCTCTCCGGAGAAAGTAGAAGGGTGAACCCAAAACCAGTGACAGATGGGAGTAAGACAATCACTGAAGACAAGAAGAAAGCAGAACATTTCAATCATTATTTTGCCTCGGTTAACAGAGCAGGTAAGCTGTCAGAACTCGATAGAACACAGCTCTCTCAGTTGAAGAAACAAGAGAGAGCTCCAACAGCCAGCGACTCCCTTTTTGAAAATGAATTTAGCATGGATGAATTAGAGCAAGCCCTGAAGAAATTAAAACCTAGAAAATCTCCAGGCCCAGATAAGATCCACAACGAAATGCTGCTACATCTTGGCCGGTCTGGGAGAGAAGTAGTTCTCAGGCTTATTAATAAAACTTGGAGGTCAAGCAAACTTCCAAGGGCATGGAGGAATGCATATATCGTCCCCATCCTTAAAACCAAAAAGCCTCCAGATGACCCCAAAAGCTACCGCCCGATATCCTTAACATCATGCTTGGGCAAAGTTGCAGAAAGAATGATAAACAGGCGCTTATATTGGTTCCTTGAGAGTTCTGGTGCTCTATGCCATGAACAGGCAGGCTTCAGAACCAACAGCTGCACAGAAGACCAGCTGTTCAGACTGACACAAAGAATACATGATGGCTTCCAGAATAAGAAACACACAGTGGCAGTCTTTGTCGACCTTCAGCAGGCCTATGACAGAGTATGGAGAAAAGGTCTCCTGATGAAGATGATGAGCATAGGAATACATGGCAGATTGTATAACTGGGTGAAATACTTCCTGATAGATAGAACAATCCAGACTAAGATGCACAACGCAATCTCTTCTAAAGAAGTCTTGGAGGAGGGCTTGCCACAAGGCTCATCATTGAGCTGTACACTATTCCTAATCTTTATCAATGACCTGCCAGAACAAATCAAGGCTGAAAAAGCCTTGTACGCTGATGACCTAGCAATATGGCAGAGTCATGAAAATGTGGAAAGTGGAGCCCAAAGACTGAATGGAGACCTTAGAAGACTGCATGATTACTGCCAAAGATGGAAACTCAAGATTAACTGTGCAAAGACGGTCTACACAATCTTTACCAAAAGCCACCAAGTAGCAAGGAAGAATATTAACCTGAGGTTAGACAAACACCAAGTGATGAAAGAAGAGCATCCCCACATACCTTGGAGTCACACTTGACCCGCAGCTCAGCCTCAAGAACCATATTGAAAACATCAGGAATAAGGCATTGAGGCGGTTACAGTTATTAAAGAGACTTGCAGGTACATCATGGGGATCAGACAAGGAAACTCTGAGGGGCTTATACCTAGGATATGTTCGCTCTGTGATAGAGTACAACAACTCACTGCTTACAACTTGTTCCAAAACTAACCTAGAGACTCTTGACAGAGTACAAAATAATGCCCTCCGATTAATCTGCGGAGCTATGCAGTCTACACCAACTGCTGCATGTGAAATCCATACAAATGTGGAACCCCTCGGGTTGCGGAGAGAAAAAGCCACTTTAGAAATTTATGAAAGATGCGTTAGGAAAAATCGTAACCATCCTAATAGACATCTTGTAGAAAACTGGGAATCCAAACAAAGAATAAAGCACAAATCGGTTTTACACTGTGTTAATGAAATTCAGGACAGATACCACCTCCCAGAAAGACGTCAAGGAATTCAGAATGTTGCAAAAAACCTACCACCACATGCTCGCTTTAAAGCTCCAGAAGTCCAAACTAAATTGGTAGGCGAGGAAACCAAACAGTCCGACCCAATCGCTCTTATGAACTCATCACTAAAGACCGTTGATTCTTACCCCCAAGAATGGATACATGTCTATACTGATGGATCAGCATTTAAAGCTACCATTAAAGCAGGTTACGGAATCTACATAGGTTATCCCGATGGATCTGTTGAAGAGATTTTTGATGCATGCGGGGAATTCTGTTCAAACTATGAAGCTGAAATAATTGCACTGGAAACAGCCGTATACCACCTAAAGACTGTAATGGATGTTTACCCCTCAAAGGTCCAAAATATTGTCATCTTCACAGATTCAATGTCTGCCCTTCAAGCTCTGGAGGGCAATGAACGCTGCAGAACTGACATAGCCAAGATAATCCTGGATGCCGATCAGCTTATTACCTCATACAACATCAGAATAGTGATGCAGTGGATTCCAGGTCACTCCGGCACACCAGGTAATGACAGAGCTGACAGATGGCAAAGAAAGGAGCAACACAAGAACAACCACCTACAGCGACAACCCTCCAGACAGCAAAAACACTGATAAGAGCTATAAACAAAGAGACTTGGTTGAACAGATGGGCCATGGGAGACACTGGAAGAGAGGTTTATAGACATATGTCTGGCCCTGATCCTAATGACAGCATTAACCATCTAACAAGAAGGGACCAGGCCACCATCTTCAGACTTAGAACGCAACATACTCCACTCAATGGACACCTAAACAGAATACAGCCACAACACTCCCCAGAGTGCCAGCTATGTAACTACCCCTACGAAACTGTTGAACACCATCTCTTTGAGTGCCCAAAACTCAGTGAGACAAGAAGAACGCTACTCCCTCCGAGACCAGACAAGTGGAACACCTTGTACGGAGGAAAAGAACAGCTTGTGAAAACATGCAAATTCCACTACATGGCATTGGGCCAAAGGGCGAAAGCTCATGCGCCGCTGGATCGATAACAACAACAACAACAACAACAACATACAATACAGGTCTATACAATACAGATCTACACAATACAGGTCTATACAACACAGGTTTATACAATACAGGTTTATACAATACAGGTTTATACAATACAGGTCTATACAATTCTGGTTCTACACAATACAGATCTATACAATACAGATCTATACAATACAGGTCTATTCAATACAGGTCTATTCAATACAGATCTATATAATACAGGTTTATACAATACAGGTCTATACAATACAGGTCTTACACTATATTATACCCAATATGCCAAAGGTACGGAAAAGGATGCTTTATGCATTAAATCTTCAAATAAGTCACATACAGCAGGCAGTCTATTCCTCCATGTCTTTCTATCCTGTGGAATCAATTCAATATAACTGATAGAATTCAGTCCTGTATCACTGATGTATACACAAATTTCTCTCTCTGTTTCTCTCTCTCTTTCTCTCTCTCTCTCTTTCTCTCTTTTTCTCTCTCTCTTTCTCTCTCTCTCTCTTTCTCTCTCTCTCTCTTTCACACACACACACACACATATGCACACATACACTATAAATGTTCGTATGTGTGTAGGTTTACCCATTTTGAAATTATGCCATGCAGTAACTAAAACAACATACTTGTAAATCTGCATCTTGAGTCTGTCTTGAACTCTCTCACTCTCAGACATATGCTTCTTTAACTTTTTTCTTTCCTAACTAATATTGATTTACATAATAACTGTTTGGATCTGAAAGAGTTTAAATGATAACACACTGGGACAACGGGAACTGAAGTAACAACTGGGATAGAACAGATTCATGTTATAGCTGGATGGAGCATTGGCCTCTCAGAATAGTATATAATTCCAGAGAATTCTAATAATTACACAGTGAGTGGTTTCAGGACAGAAAGAGTTAATGAAGCTTGCCATTATACTTTTCATTCTGTTTTATATATCTTCTTTGAATTAACTGAAACTGGAACTTTATAATGTCCAGCTTAGACGACTTGCTGATTGCTGGTGTGCATAAAGCTATGCATCTGGTCATCTCGCACATCGAGACTGACCCAGGACGAGATGAAAACCTTAGCGATGCTGAGACAATCATTACAGTTCAGAAAATTTCTAGGTAAACTCCATGTTTATTGTATTTAATATTTATCTTTAGCTGCATTATTCACTAAGTGTATTTTTCTGTATCTGTTAGTCTCTCTCTCTCTCTCTCTCTCTCTCTCATTATCTTTCTTTCATTATCTCTGTGTGTATACCTGTCTGTCTACCTGTCAACCTACTATCATTCTGCTTATCTGTTTATCTTTATGTCTGACTTCTCTTTTTATCTTTTTTTTTGTCCCCATCTGTCATTTTCTTTGTTTCCTACATCAGTTTTGGTCTCTTGGTGTCTATCTGTGTGTGAGAGTCTCTTTCACATACTATATTTCTCTGTGTGCTCTCTGTATGTATTTTCATGTCTATTCTCTTTCTCCATCTTTCACTCTCTCTTCTCTGCATCTCTTTGTGTTGGTTTTTCTCTCTGTCTCTGTCTCTCTCTCTCTCTCTCTCTCTGACTACTCTCTCGTTCTCTCTCAATCTCACATCACTTCCTGTACTTGGATATATTATAAATAATAGATAGATGGATACTGTTAAATGTTTGCCGATGTCATAGCATCTCACAGTTATATCATCAAATCATCTTCTTCTTTCTCTGTGCTCATCCGAAGATATAAATGCCTTCTGCCTATTTACAACATGGCTGTGATATCTGATACGTGCGGTCCTTCATTGTGACGTGCAGAGCTTCATGCTGATGTGTGTGGTACCAAGATGAAATAGGCCAAGTAGGGGTAAAACAGTAGTTACTTCAATGCTTTCAAAATGTAGAGCTCGAACGCTATGCGTTAAGTTCCAACGGTTGTATTGATATATACAATCAGCAATGATTAACACAAAGGATACATATGCAAGTAATAATCAACTCGTTCAACCAAAGCTCGCTCGTACATCCATGTAATGATATGTCCTCACGATAGGTCGCAGTCCGACCTTGAGATCCAGACGATTTACTTTCTCCTCAGACAAGTCCGAATTAAGCAATGAAAGTATACCGGCTTACTGCCGAGAATGTAGTGCTCACCAGCTTCCTGCTGAGGTCTTGGAGTCCCGGGGTAAAACGTCCTCAAGGATCCAACTTTATATAATGTTTGCTTCCGTGGGATCCCGGGGTAAAGCGTCCTCAAGGATTCCCACGTCCGTCTCCTTCGGACTATAAACATCGACTGCTTTGACAACAATATTATCATAACAACGTTACGTATTGTTTTGACGTCTTATTTGCTCACTCCGTACCGGTGCGTTCTGGTGCACATTCGCACGCGACAATATCTATGCCTTTTGGCTTACACAATCGACTTCTGCTGGCATTTGTTGATCAGGTTAGCCTCCCTGGTATCATCAAGAGCTGCTGGTTTGAAAGGCAATGAAAGAGCAGACGCTTTGGCTGGCAGTGTGGCTATTTAGAAATGGGTCCTCTATGAACAGGAGAGATATCAACAGTGTCATATGAAAGACTAAATGCTGTGAGGCTTTAAGTTTCATGGAAAATTAGTTTTTCATTGAGTAGACTGCATACCCTGGGTGTACCAATTAGATCCGTGAGACAGGAAACCCCTGTGTGGGCCACCCTTCGTTACATCAGCCAGAAAAGAATGGAAGTTGTTAGCATAAAAACTCTTAGAGACATACTCAGGAGGAAATCGAAGCGCTTATGGTCATGTCCGATGGGCAATGAAGATGGTCTTTAAAATGAACAGTGAACAAGATCTGATGCACACATTGTTTTTTCTGCAGGCTTTTTCCACATGTGAATATCATCACTGAAGTGAATGAAGCCTCCAACATGAGATTTATGCATTTCAAGCCCAAGGACACATACACGCTCAAGATAAAAACACATGAAAAGGTTCCTATTCAAAATTGTATTAATTAATCTGCCATTAACCTGTTTTTGTTTCTTCTTCTTCTTCTAAATTATGGCTCTCTATAGAGAATAATTCTTAATATTGTCAGATAAAGCACTTCCTGTCTTTGCTACTTATATCTGAGCCATACTTTCTGAGCTCATTTCTTGTATATTTATATGTCTACGGCTGTGTTTTAGGCATTGCAAAGAAACTTCATAATACCGGGGTGTCAGGTTCAAGCCCAGCTGTGGGTGATTTGGCAGCAGACTGCCTTGCATTGGTTTTGACAGTGGTATCAAGTGCTGACTGTTCAAATGCTGTGGCAAACTACTGAACATAAAATTGCCTAGTGAAACCACTGAAGTCAATCAAATGTTGGGGTTAGTTGTGTAATGTCCTGTTAAGGATATGCAACTACATCGAAGTTTACAATGGTCTACTGCAGCGGTTCTCAAACTGGCTGTCACGGCACTCAGGTGTACAGCGAGCATTTGCCAGATGTGCCGTGGCAATAATAAAAAATGTCTTTGCCTGACAAGGGTGCCACGGCAAAAACAGTTTGAGAACTGCTGGTCTACTGTGAGCCTAATAAATTACAATCTGGCTGTTCATTGTCTTCTATTCTGCATTTTATATGAAGCTTTTTTACAGGTTTTGATATTGTATATAATGCATGAGAATTTTGTAATGCATATTCTCTAATGTTTTACATGTAGTGCAGCAGAGATAACATCCACTTGACTTCCGCAGAAACTGAAACAACAAGCAGCAAGTCACCTTCCGCACATGTTCCGACTGCCATTTGCTGCAGGCCAGGTTTTCAGCTCTTCAATGTTGGATAGGTTATTATATCAGGTAGATGTCTCTAATGAATACAGTTTAAATAATTCATTCCTCCTTTCTGTTGTGCAGTTTATACCTCACAAAGGGCTCACAGGTGATACCTTCATTTTTTGGGGGGCGGGGAGGGGGGGAGGCGGGGCAACAAATCCAGATTGACACCTTTTGGCTCCTTTTTTTTTTTTTATATAAGATTTTATTTGCGTCCTCATTCGGTTTAGTGATAATAATTTTTTTCTGTAATTCAGGTTGTGATCTCTTTGTTTGCATATGAGAAAGTCAGTTCTTAAAGGTTAAAAAGATCTAGTTCTTATTATGGAAGTAAATCATGGGCAGTTAACTGTTTCTGTTCCAGAGTAACCTGATGTGGTTGATATGATTTTGATAATGTTTATGACAATGATGATTATGACTACACAAAAACTGTCATCATTTTCTGGAGATAAAAAAATTAACACTGAGATTTGAGATTTTGAACAACGGATCAACATCATGGCATGCAGGTGTAAACCATAAGTGCTCCGTTCTTCTAACTCAAGTCTGAGTCAGAAGAAGCTCAGCACAGTGCACAGGCTCTGTAGCACCAGTGATAATCCTGAAATACTTTGGGTATTTACTTAGCCTGGGTAACACCGTTCAGCTACCCTTTTCTATTTTCAACTGTCAAGGGATTTTTTACGTGCGCAACAATACAAACGGGCGTCCGATCTCACTACCCAGAGAGCGGGAGAATTATTAGAAGTCCAAGTCCATGTGAAAAAATCTCAGCCCTTACCGCGGATTGAACGGGGAACCTCTAGCATTTGAGGCGGACACCCTGTCTCGAGACACCGCAGCCCCTTAACATTGAGAGTTATGAAGAACCAAACCGTCTATTTCTGTGTTAGTATTTGTGTATGCTACCCTTCCGTCATGGACAACCTTTGAAATAATCACTAGAGAAATAACAAGATAAAGAAGTGACTTTCACTAAGAGCCATACCATGAATTCATGTCAGGAAGCTGTTTCTAAATTTAAAATAATAATATGTAAATAATGTGGATAAAAACAATACACTGCACAATTTATTGCCTGGCATATTTCACTGTATGTCATCAGGTGCTTACTACATTATTGCATGTTAAATTAACATATAATGAAGCACAAAAATTAATCCTTTTCATTGAAATGTGTGTATGTTCCAGGGCCCCATTGTGGGGAAAACAAGAATAGACCCTGTGACTCCCCAACAAGCATGTCGTAGGAGTTGACTAACTGGGAGCTTTCTTCAAAGTCGGAGTGCATCAGCCTGGGTGGCAAAGAACAATCAACTGCACACAAATAAGCCGGTAAAACTGATGTACTCAGACCCTGGCAGAAAACCAACGTGCAAATGGATGAACAGTGAGGACATTCCGCAGGAGTTTACAGCCAGTGGACAAATAGGAAGAAGAAGAAGAAGAAGAAAAAGAAAAAATAAAAGAAGAAGAAGAAGAATTAAAAGAAAAAGAAAAAGAAGAAAGAGAAGAAGTAATAGAAGTAAAAGAAGAAGAAGTGAAAGAAAAAGAAGAAGTTAAAGAAGAAAAAGAAGAAGTAAAAGAAGAAGAAGAAGAAGAAGTAAAAGAAGAAGTAGTAAAAGAAGAAGAAGAAGTAAAAGAAGAAGAAGTAGAAGAAGAAGTAGAAAATGAAGAAGAAGAAAAAGAAGAAGAAGAAGAAATGCATCAGTCACATTGTCAAGCTAGACTATATCTCTCCTCCAAAAATTCAAGATCATTCATATTTGTAGAAGTGCACCTGACGAGATAGAGCAAAATATGCCAGACAATAAATTGTGCAATGTATTGTATTTGTCAACATTATTTAAATTTACTGTAGGAAAACAATGTTTTTAATTTATTATAATACCATATAATTCAAACCACTGCAGAAGAATGTACTGGTGTGTTAACCATGAACGGAAGGAACAAACGGTTTAATAAAAATTTAAAGAAGTATTTAAAAAGAAAACAAAAACATGCCAGGCAGATGTGGCTAAATGATGCTAGCAACATATGAAACGATGAAAAATATAGAACAGAATAAAATGAAGCTACAAAAGTAGTTGGGCAGCAAAAGTAAGAATACAGTAACAATATTGTCATGAATATGGAATTTAACCATCAGAAGGATGAATCTAGACAGGTTTTTGTGTGTTTTTGTTTACAGAACTGAAGGCTATAAAATGAGGGCATTAACAAAGCATTTACTGTTTTAAAGATCCCAATGGGAACAACATGTATAATAATGAGAAAATATGTAACAGATGGAAATGTCACTAAATAGGTATCCACAGGAAGAGATACTAACATCTTCATCATCCTCATGTGCCCTGCGTCTCCACAGATCTTGATCCCTGGTTGCCTGGAACAGCTCTCTTGATGATATCCCTCCATGCCATGGTTTCAGCCCATCCAGCATCATCTCTCTTGGTCTGCCTCTACCCCTTTTCCACTGATCTTTCCAGTTGTCACGATGTTTTCCAATTTCTCTTTTCTCATTATGTGGCCTAAGAACAGTGATTGTCTCTTTCTTATTGTTGTATATAGAGATCTACTTTCATTAGCTTCTTTCAAGTAATCGTTGTTAGTTACTCTGACCTTCAAAGGTATTCGTAACATTCGTCTCAGAAACCACATCTGTGTTGATTCTAAATTCTTCCTAATTTGTTCACTGACATTCCAAGATTTGCTGTCATACAACAGAACAGTTTCTACGTAACATTTTAGCACCCTCTTTCTGGCATTAAATGAGAGCGATTTATTGTATAAGATATTTTTTCATTTTGTGAAATGCAGCTTTGCTTGACCTGTTCTGCTTTTAATGATACTTAGATGTGAACCAAATATTGAAGAGCCTGATTTTGAACAACTGTTATGTAATAGGTTAGTTGCGTATCCTTTACAGGACGTTGCAGAACCAACCCCATTAGCCCCTGGCTGTTGTGTGGTTTTTCTAGGCATATGTACGTCCAGTAGTTTACCATTGCTTTCTGGACGGTCGGCTTCTTTGATACCACTGTCGAAACCAACGCAAGGAGCATGGCCTGCAGCTGGGATCGAACCCAGGCTTCCCGGCATTACGATGCGTTCATATCGACTTAGCCACAGAGCCGACTAAATATGAGGTTAGTTGTGTATCCTTTACAGGATGTTGCAGAACCAACCCCATGGTTTTTCTATGCAAATTTACTTCCAGTAGTTTGCCATTGCTTTCTGGACGGTCGGCTTTCTTGATACCACTGTCGAAACCAACGCACCCGCAGCTGGGATCGAACCCGGCATCCCGGCATTACGAAGCGTTTGCATCAATTTAGCCACAGAGCCGATGTTATGTAATAACACGGCTTAAAACAATAAAGCAACTGGTGCTGATAGAAAATGCTGCTGAACATAAAAAAGAAGGTGGCCATACATTACAGTTAAAGATATATGAATTAATAAAATATTGTGGTATTAAAATTAGTGACAACATTTCTGTATGTGTTGTATTTTGATTGCTGCACGTTGTTTTCTACAGACATTTGTGAAAGGCTATTTAATCAGCTTTGTAAGACTTCTGCTTGGAATTGATGCAGAGAAGGACTCTGGCCACTTGTCAAGTGTAAGTATTACCCTGTCAGATATTTATAGTGTCTTAAACATAACAGGGCTAACACTTACAAACATTAATTCTGTATACAGTTAGTGAGATCCAATGTATTCAGTCAGAATATTCCTATCTGAACTCTTTTGCTACCAGATAACTCAGTATGCATTTCTTGACACTTCCAAAGATGGTGTGCTTGAAGACAGTGTGATGTTTATGTCTTCTAGCACAGATATAAGTGATTTTTAGCCTTGATATTTATGTTCATCATTATCATCAAATGCCTTGCCAGCTGGCGTAGGCTTTCATACTTTCCTATTGAACATTATTTATTAAAGTGCAAGAAATCAACTCCAAAGGACTTCCGTTAATTCATACATGATCCGCTGCAATAAGCCTATTACAGTAGAAAACATGCTTAGGATTAGATGGCTCTAGAGAACTATAGGGAAGGATTAAACAGCACATCATATGAACCAGGGTTAGCAAATACAATTAATACATAAGATCTGCAGTATTGAATAACTAAACATAATTGATAAGCATAAATATGTCCCTCAGATGTTCTAAAAAAATAATCTTATATACAGTCTGGTCTGGCTGCATTCTCACTAGATGGTGGAACCATTTCATTCTTTGCCTGTCAATATTAACCCAGACATGGTCTTATTCCAACTTTGTCTCTAATGCTGGTATTCATACCTCTGTCTTATCTAGTGTTATTAGTGACCTTGCAGAGTCAGCACATTTCACATGTGGTTGTTTTCTGTTCTAGTGCCTAATTCATTGTCCATGTTTGGCACTGATAACATAAAGTAGGGATAAAGATGCTATTAATCATTTGCTGTTTTGCTGGACGGAAGACATTAGGGTGTCTAAGCAGTTCGGCTTACTGGTAGGTGACAGCATTTACCTTCTGTACTCTGGCTTCTATCTCTTTTTCGAGACTGCAGTCCTCCATATTTATGCTTCCTAGATATTTGAATTCTTGTTTGATTGAAGTACGGTTAACATGAACGTTCATGATATTATGTTTCCTGCCTATCCTCATTACCTCAGTTTTCCTGGTAATTATTCTTATATCCTACTTTGTGCAGGTTTGATGTAATAAGTCAATATGGTGTTGTAAATTCTGTTTTTTTTTTTTTTGTGATGTATGCGACACTGATCATCTGCCCCCCAAAAAAAAAAAGTTTGTTGATTTCTTCAGTGTCTGTATTTGCTTCCTGTATTATTCATTCATGAAAGTAATGAATAGCAATGGTGAGAGAACACATCCCTGTCTGACACTTGATGAGATGTGGAATCTTTCTGTCATTCCTTCTGCTGTTCTTACTGTGCATTGACTATCTTGGCAAAGAGCCATGATGTTACCCAACAGTTGATCTTGAATACTATAATCTTCTAGAATTTTCCTTAGTTTGCATCTGTTGACTCGATCGAATGCATTCTCTTGATCTATAAATATAAGATGTTGACTTCTATCATATTCAATAGACTGCTCGCGTGTCTGCCTTAATGAAAATATTGCATTAGCACAGCTCTTTCCCTTCCTGAAACGGAACTGTCTCTTACTTATCTGGGGCTCTTGTACTGGTTGAGCTCTAAGTTACAATATTTTTGCAAACATTTTCCCAATATGGCTCAGGATAGAGATGCCCCTGTATGTTTCACATCTCTTTTATCCCCTTTATCCCACTTTTAACTGTACTAGGCATGTAGGGCTAGAACTAAATTTTATAGGCCAATTGACATTTAGCGGGTGATGTGGTCAACATAACACTGACCGCCTTTACTTCCCAGGACTGCACCTGGTACCCACTCAAGGCTAGGTCAACCTGGAAGCCAAAGTCATTTTTGAAAAAAAAGTCCAGCTTTGTCAGGACCCAAACCCACGACCTTCCAATCTGCAGGCAAGTGTCTAGCCGCTACACCACGGTGACTCCCAACAAGTAAAGTGGAAGATATTAAAAACCTGTGTCTGGAGAAGATGATGCAGCAGGGTGTGTCAGGAGAAATGCACAATTTGAAGTTAACCAGATGATAAAGGGTACCATCCTTATGGAGTGGAGACTCTTCATTGATTGTTGAGAAGGGAGACAGGGTTAATATGGGTTGTCCTGAATGCTGTGTAGATTCTTTACCCAGATGAGCCCAGCAGCGCCCGCTCACCCCCCCCCCCCCCCCCCCCCCCATGCCCCCCACCCCCATTTACAGTAAAGTTCAAGACAGATATCAAATGACTAGCTCCAGAATTTAGAAACTTAGCAACCCCATTGATTGAAAGATTTGCTCTGATCTAACAGGTGCGTATTCATCGTGGAACTTTGAGACAATTTCCAACTTATGGAGACCTCTTCCAGGGGTTAGCATCCACAACAGGTGAAATTCCAATCGCTATTTACAGAACAGAGAAACAAAATCCATCTCTGATTGAGGTGAGTCATTGAAAAACAAAAAAGGGTACAGGTTTGTGATCAAAATGTCCTTCCCCTTATTTCTCTCTCTTTCACATCAATCCTATTATCATGTCAAGTGACATTAGTTCATGTATATCCACAGAAGATTTACGTGTGTCCTATCTCGACTGGTCCTCTTGTACCAGGTAGTCAGCCTTTTATCTTAGGCCCTTGACCATCTCATACAAATCTCTCATACTTTTTAACATTTTGTGCAGCTCTGTCTACATTATTCCCATATTATGTATTTATCTCTGATTTGATTTCTTTTCAAGTATTTTTAGATCTCCCTCTCTGTCTCTTCTATCTTAAGGTTTCTCCTGCCATCTCTGCCTTTCTCTCTGTCTCTTTGTTTCTTTATTTCTCTCTACCTCTCTCTCTGTCAGTCTGTCTGCCCCTCTCTGTCTATCTCTGTCCTGGTCTGTCTGTCCCTTCTCTTTATGTCTCTCTCTCTCTCTCTCTCTCTCTATATATATATATATATATGTCCCTCTGTCTTTCTAGATCTCTGTGTGCCTGTCTCTATCTCCCCTCTGTCTTTCTAGATCTCTGTGTGCCTGTCTCTATCTCTTCTGTCTGTCTCTCTCTGCCTCTCTCTATCTCTTTGTCTCTCTTGTCCTAATCTCTCTGTCTTTGTCTCTCTCTCTCTCTATATATATATATATATATATGTAACTCCCGCTCTCTCTCTCTCTCTTTCTCTCTCTCCCTTTCGTGTTTGCTCTTTGGGTTCTAGAGGAAGAACTAGAAGTGCTCTTACCTCATCATAATTTCAATACACAGCATGCATATGTTAATGAATGTTCACCAGGTAATGTTTCTGCAATACAGGATTCTGTAGCAGTTCACTGTTTGCAGTGCACATTGTATTTAAGCACCATATTAATGCACTAATGCGGCTGTGAGCAGCAACTGGCCAAACAGTTAAGATTGCAAGGTTCTCTTATGGGAGACTCACATTCAAATCTTCAGTAGGGATTATGATTCTGTTTCTGTCAATCATTCATTCCTTCAATAGCATGTTCCTCGCGGAACCTCGCTGCCATAACAACCCTCCGGAAAACCTTCCTATCTTGAGCAAGATGTCCTGCGTCTGATACACCCATCTGGAGATCATCTGCCACATCCTGCACCCATCTTCTCCTTGGCCTTCCTCTTCCTCTCTTCCCAGGCATATACCCCTCCATTATTGTTCTCTCTAGACTTCCATGACGTTTCAAGTGACCAAAATATTTCAATTTTCTTTTTCTGTCAGTGGAAAAAATACAATCTTAACCACAATAGTCCATGCAACCCTTAATTCTGAAGCTTACTGTCCCCCACCCAGCCCATACCTCAGAAACAGTAAATACAGACAATGATGGCATTCTTGGCAGTGCAACTTGGGTTTTTTGTGAGAGGGGGGGGGGGGGGGGTTAGAGAATGTGGTGCCATGTCATATATCAAAACACTGGCATTTCAAATTTGAGATGTTCAGTTGTTACGTTTATGTCTTCATTATTTATTCGGGGAGGAAGGGGGCATATGGGTTCCTTACTTTTTGAATGCCCTTCGTAGTAACCCCTGACATCAACTGATCCCACATAAACACATACATATATGTCACTACTTTGTTTCATCGCAGTAACTTGTCAACAACTGATTTTTATCTTATAGGGCAACCTACATGGGCTGCCAGATGGTCTTGGTTTAAAAAAGAAGAACAATTCTCTGCTGAACATGCTCCACATTCATAGTCACCAGCCGAGAACCAGAAGAAATATGCGAGCTGCCCGCATGTCAGTGGCTGGATTTGTGGACAAAGACAAGAACAGTAACCATCATCTAGAAGAAATGGTTCAGACAAGAATGGACAGTCTTGGCCTGTCCCAGGGAAATTACAGATGTGAGTTGAGGATAGAAAGAATTAAATTGTATGAAAGAATCACTAATGTAGAGTTTTAGGAGAGAGCTTAACAAGTTCTAGTGGGCCAAGAGGTGAAGAATAGACCCCGGCATTGGATAGGAAACATGTTGAGAAAACCTGAAAACAATATAACTAGAATACCTTTGCACTGGAACCCACAGGGGCATAGAAATAAAGGAAGACTAAAAAACACATTGAGAAGGGAGCTAGAGAGTAAAGTTGAAAAGTTGGGGACAACATGGGGAGAGCTGTATGTGATAACGAAGGACAGAACAATATGGCATGAGTTGATTGAGGGCCTATTCTATTGAGGGTTAGAAAGGCAGAAGAAGAAGTAAGGATGTAGTCTGCTGTTGAAAAATACATAACTTCAAATAAGAATGTTTAAAAAAATGTTCATAAACCCTTTCGCCTGAAAAGTCGCAAAACCAAAACTCCCGCTAAGTCCAGTTCCAGTAAATGTCACTTTTCCAGCTTGTTTACAGTGACCTGTTTATGATATGAATTCTTAATGCTAATGACGGTTTTCACCCCGGTGCAAACTTTGAGAGGTCAGGATATGAATATATTAACCTAAAAAAATATAATTTAAGAGAGATTTTCCTTTCAGCCAAATGGTTTTTTTTTGCTTTTAAAGCCAAGTTGATGTCAAATTCTCTTATAAAACTAAGTGATGGAAGCATGAGGCATGCAATACATTTGATTTTTAGGCTCTGGCGAATGCATTCCATGTAATGTATCACCATGTTCATGTTTTTTGATAAACCCCTTCATAAATCTTTATATATTTCAAAAGAATACAACACATAGATAAATACATTTTTTAATGAATGTATTAGTGACTTGCGTACAAATATTTTTGTAAGGATTTGTTTCTGCAATTCCAACGAGGTCATGGCCCCATTTTTAGTGTTCCCGGGGTGAGACGGTTGAAACCTGTCCTTAATGTCTATGTTTTGTCTATGTTTTATCTCTTTTTATGATAGTAAAGGTAGAATGGCCTTTGGTCCTATTGGGGACTGCAGAAGAAGAAGTATTGATTAATGAAAAACCAAACAACTGAGAACTAGCTATGACTCTTTACCCAGGCCAGTTGACACCTTGTGAGTCCACTGGTCAACGGTCCTAAGTCAATACATACACAAAATATTGACTCAAGCCCTGCTGACACCTCAGGTTCTAAGTCAACACCAGCTCACAAAATTGACTCAACCCGAGTCAGCACCCTGGTCAACCAAGCCTGCACTAAATTAACATAAAAAATGTTGATACCCCTGAATTGACAGGCAACAGTGCCTTTGGTCCAATTGGGGACTGCAGAAAAAGAAGTATTGATCACGAGAAACAAAACAAATGAGAACTAGCTGACTATTTGATCAGTTTGTCCCCTCTAGGTTGCAACCTAAAGAAAGACCATATCATCAAGAGAAAGGAGGAGGAGAGCAGAAGAAGAAGAAGAAGCTTGAATGATACAAGTAATAATATGTGTTGAATTACATTTGTCAAAATGTCTGAGACTGAAATTGTATTTTCTATGTAATAAACACATTGTATCCAGTTACTGATCTAAAGTATTTTGGTTTTTTCCATCTGAGCAGATGTGATTGAAAAGTCAGCAAAAACCTTGTCATATGTGATTGTAAATCCCCCACCGGGAAGGAAACTGAAAAACAGAGACATGGTGTAAGATTTTCTTGTATTTACACTTACGTACAGTAGACTTGTTATTGCAGCAAACATCATTTTAATGAAAAATAAAGTGCATGACTCTTTAATCCCCAGTGGTGCCAACAGGCATATGATGCCAGGCTCATATTTTTATAGACCAATTGACACATATTGGTTGATTTGGCTCAACATCTTACCTGCCCCCTATTACCTTCCAGAACATTTCTTAGTACCAGATTTTAGGCTGGATTAACCTGAGAACCATCTTAACAGCATTATGGGCCCCTGGGAAAATCAGTATGCTGAGGCCCCTATGACAACCACTCGCAGGAATGAAATTATTTAAAGCAAGTCCATTGACAGACACTGATTAGCAAGGGGTGCCCTATGCTTATGGGACCCTGGGTAAGTACCCAGTGCACTGGGATAGCAGTGAGCCAAGGCCAGGTTTGTATAATACACCCAGTGTGGATTCAAACTGAAGACTGTCATACTGGCAGGCAAGTGTATAGCCACTGTGCTACTGCAGATCACAAACAATTTTTATGTGGGCCACTTAACTGTCTCATTACTAAGAACTATGTAGACTAGTTCATGACTAGCTGAATTTGTAGCTGAAGTTTTCTATGAAAGGAAGTAGCTAGTCCTGTGCTGAATCTTTCTAGTCATTGCTTATAACATGCCAGGTTGGACAATGTTAATATTCTTCACTTCCCATTTGGGCATCAGTAACTTCAGTAAAGGACCCTTTTCCTAACATGTGGGCATATAGGGCTAGACTCTGTGTGTTAATCAGTCATTCGCAGTTAAATCTTCATGGCAAACAGATCCCTCTATAATTGCACCATGCCTGTACCAGGAAAAGTCCTCACAGAGGTATCACTGTTGTCCCTTGAGAAAAGAATTAAAACAGACTGGAGTCTTGCAAACCAGTTGCATGCACATGCATTAAATGTATAAGATGACCGTCAGAAGTATCAACACAGTTTGTCACTGCTATCAACACAGTCAGTTACTTCTATAAGTATTCAGTGACAGCAATTAAAAAAGGAATGTATGTTTAAGAACAAAACACTTACCTTGACTTTTTTTTTGCGATCAAAAGATATCTTATAGTCTTCTTCTTCTTCTTTTCTCTACTCCTGGAATGACTTGAGGTGTCAGGGCAGGGAGAGATCTCTGGAACTGGCCCCATCTCTTCACTTTGTATAAAGTACTTTTCAGTGTCTCTGATATTTCATCGGTCCATGTTCTGGGTGGTTGACCTCTGGTTGTGTTACCGTTGTATCCGTATAACATTGCTCTCTGTGGCGCCCTGTCTGATGCTAATTTTGTTACGTAGTCAAACCATTTGATTTATTGTTTACCTATGAAGTTCAGTATTGGCTCTCCTCCTGATATCATCGCTCTTAAATTGATCTTTCCTCGTTACACCTAGAATAGTACGTAAACATTTCATTTCTATTGAGACTATTTTCTTTCTGTCTTCTGAAGACAGTGTCCACATTTGACATTCAGAGCAAAGTGTTGGTAAGAATATTGTGTTGGACAGTGTTCTTTAAGTGCTCATTTTCCCAGCTTGTATTTCAGAATTTGTGCCATTTGGCATCTTTGTTGAATTTCTTTATAAATTCTTAAAAAGTCTTCTAGAAAATGCTCTCCAGAAATATAAAATCCTGCTTTAACTGTGTTTGTCAATGTTGATATTGGTGCTTCTTTCTTTTTGGAAGAATGTCATCACTTATGTTTTGTCTACGTTGATCTTCATATCATAGTTGTTGCATTCTGAGTTGAGTCTGTTAATATGTTCTTGTAGTTGTACTGCTGTTGGTGATATGATTGCCTAGTCATCGGTGAATAGCAACTCATTTAGTAGTTCTTAAATGTTGTCCCCTTCGCTGATGTTAGTTGGTATGCAAAGTTATTAGACGAATGTGGTCTTTTAGTAAATGCATGTTTTCAATCTTCTTTCATTACAAAAATTGTGTAAAGTTTTTTTGTTTATTTTCTTTTTACTTGTACCATTTCACAGCTATGTCATTCAGCCCAGCTCAATGCAAGCAGTTCCAAATAAGCTCGCTCGCAGAGGAGGCAGCCTGAATAAAACAGCTCGTACCCGCCACATCAGCTTCAACCACCCAAAGCTGAAGACCACCACAGTGGACACAAGTGACTACAGTTCCCTAGGTCTAGGTCAATCATTAACTAGCATTCATGCAAGTTCTCTGCCGTCGTCACCAGTTGAGGCGATAAGTGAGAGCCAGACAGATCTGCTTACAGTGCCCCGAGTAGTCTGGTTCAAAGTCAATGGTGACACGGGGGGCGAGCAGGATGCTGATGCTGATGACGAGGATGACAACCAAAGAAGACCCCGGTGCATGTCAGAATCGTATGTTGATCACAAAAATTCTTCTTTTGCCTAAAGCAATCAGACTGGTGACAGACGCATAGCACTGTTGTAAATGTTTGTATAGATAAGCAAGTAAGTCTTAAATAAAACTGGTGATATTTGAAGAATAGTGTTATAAATAGTACAGACACAGAGTAGTGTTGTAAATGTTTGTATAGATAAGCAAGTCTTTAATAAAACTGGTGAAATTTTCAGAATAGTGTTATAAATAGTACAGACACAGAGTAGTGTTGTAAATGTTTGTATAGATAAGCCAGTAAGTCTTAAATCAAACTAGTGATATTTGCAGAATAGTGCTACAAATAGGACAGACACAGAGTAGTGTTGTGAATTTTTGTATAGATAAGCAAGTAAGTCTTGAATCAAACTATTGATATTTGCAGAATAGTGTTATAAGTGGGATAGACAAATAGTAGTATTGTAAATGTTTGTGTAAATAAGCCACATCTGCGTGCACACTCATGAGTTAGTTGCATATTCTTTACAGAAAGTTGCAGAACAAACCTCATCATTTTTGTGTGTTTGAAGCTGTTTGTGATTTTACAAGACAATTCTGCATTCAGTAGTTTGCCTTTGCTTTCTGAAATGTCAGCTCTTGATACCATTGTTAAAATAGTGCAAAATGGTTATACACCATTCTTAAAACACATTTAGAATCAATAGAGAAGAATAACATTTTTCAAATTGGCTGATTTTTTTGTGATTAATCAGAAAAATGGTCTTTTACTCTCACCGCTTTCTAAAAAGAAGGTGCTGCTTTAACTCGATCTAATGTAACTATTTGTTACCTAATGTAAAACGTCTGATTCTTAAAAGATTGTGTATTAAAAAAAAATTAATCATTTTCTTTCCTTATCATCAAACACTTTATTGACTGGGATATAATACATTCTTTAAAAAATTACGCATTACATTCATCAAAAGGCTTCTTTTACAATTTATTGATTTGCTAATTATTAATAGACCAGAATTTGGAACGCATTATACTAAATGTAATCTGGATGTATATTTAACAAGTTAAATGTTTTTATTTTGGGGATGGGGGGGGGGGGGGGGGTATTAATCTATAGTTTTTCTGATCTATCTGAATCACAGATTATTCTTGTAAATGATGGTCAGTAAATGAAAAAGCCTATATTTATTGTTAGCTGCTTACTATATGTATTCATATAAATACAAGGGCAGCTTCAGAAGGTTATGGTTCAGCAAGCAAATCAAAGTCACAAATTTGTGAGCATGCATCTACCCTGTAGCAGTGTACAGATACTGGACTATCTTGCGGTGACTAAGGGAGACAATTAATACTTTTGAGCTCAAATTATAGAGGAAGATTCTCAGAATATCATCAATCAAGGGGAGAAAGAAAGGAAACACTGATATTAAAATATAATAATATCAAAGACAACTGGTTCTTACCCTTTCAGAACCAACAGTTTTTACTGGAGTTGCTTATATGTATAAATCCTGGGTCTATTACTTTCAAAGATGCTAAATACTTAGGAAGCCAAATTTCTAAAGTATGCTGTGACCAAAATTTAAAAAGACGAACATATCAAGTTCGGTCGGATTCACAAAAGTGTTAATTGCACAACACACATTGTTTGGACGCTAAAGAGTTAACGCTTTCGCCCTGAGATCTCTTTTAAAAAAAAAATTGGTGATGACACCATTAGGAGTCCCAGAAAAATCTGTAGAAATAAAAAATTTTACACAGGTCACTAATATATTTATTAAAATGTATTTGTCGACATTTAAAAATTACTTGTGAAATATATGAAGAAAAATGAAAGGAGGAATAATTAAACTCAGACAGGGTGAAACAATAAATTGAATACATCCCCTTGAGACCTAAAAAAACCCACATGTATCTGGTGACTCACGCTGTGACCCTGTGACCTCTACCACTGAGACAGCTTTAAAAAACAGCCATTTATCACACACACACACAAAAAACCTCCAAATGTTATTGTTCTTTTTTTTATTTTACCCACCTCGGGGACTCTGTGATTCTTGGGGCGATAAGGTTAAACACAGCAGTTCTCAACCTGTGGGTCACAGGGGTTGCCTTAGACCATAGGAAAACACACACATATTCACAGAAGTTATGAAGTAGCAACGAAAATAATTTTATGGTTGGTGGGGGGGGGGGGGGGGGTGGTCACCAGAACATGAGGAACTGTATTAAAGGGTTACAGTATTAGGAAGGTTGAGAATCACTGATTAAACTGGATCTTCCTAGGAAACTGAAGTATTCTGGCCACATGAAACATGGTAGCGGCTTCGAGTAGTGGCGATATATATGGAAAGAGTAAGGGGTTAACCAGTATAAAGAAGGTGGACAAAAGCTATAGGAGATGCCTTGGGCAGGAAAGTGCATGAGGCAGGAAAGGTAGTGAGGGGCCAAGTTTCTTTCAGGCTGTCTGTGATGACATCAGTGTTCTGTATAGGTCCTGCAACATGATGAATGGAGGCGCTTAATGTTGTTCATTCATTCTGATTAATTCTGCCAAGCTACAGCACTTTATTTTCGAATGTTTGTAGATGTGCGCATTAATCTCTCTTGTTATTGAGGTTGGCTGCTGCTGCTGCTCTTCTGGGCAGTGAGCTACTATAAGATACAGTGTACACTGTGAAGACTCTCTGGGATCAAATGGACATTGCAATAGAACAGCAGAGAATCTGTACACTGAAAGACTAATTCAACGGGTGGTTAGTAGAGATGCTGGAAGATGTTCACTACTGAAGGGAAAACATAGGCGCACTTTTAATCAGGGAGTCACTGGTCCTATTAGCATTTCAACTCCTGGAGAAGAAGACGGAGCGTGTGTGGCAGTGTCTCAAGAGCAGTGGTGTAAATTATTGATTGATTCTTTCATGAAGTTTGATGTGTATTTTTATATATATTCACTTTAAACTGAGTAATTTCCGTTTATAAACTTTTTCTGAGCTGATTGCATTTGACCATATAATTCCTAACCATTTTCTATATTAAGCAACTTAACATACATGAATTCCCAACCATTTGCTATATCAAGCAGCTCATTGCCAACCATTTTCTATATCAAACAACTTAACATACATGAATTCCCAACCATTTGCTATATCAAACAGCTAATTGCCAACCATTTTCTATGTCAAGCAACTTACATACATGAATTTCCAACCATTTGCTATATCAAACAGCTAATTGCCAACCATTTTCTATATCAAACAACTTAATATACATGAATTCCCAACCATTTGCTATTTCAAACAGCTAATTGCCAACCATTTTCTATATCAAACAACTCAACATACATGAATTCCCAACCATTTGCTATATATGTATCAAACAGCTAATTGCCAACCATTTTTCTTTATCAAGCAACTCAACATGCATGAATTCCCAACCATTTACTATATCAAACAGCTAATTGCCAACCATTTTAAATATCAGCCAACTTAACATACATAAATTGCCAACAATTTTCTATATCAAACAACTTAACATACATGAATTCTTTAACACCTTACCGCTTTCAACTTAAAACGATCTTCCTTATTCTCTTCTTTGTCTATCAATTCCTTACTCACAGTTGTCTGCAGGTTACACAAGCTTGATGTAGCCATTACAGATACCCCAAATATAACTTCCTCTGAGGTTGAAAGGGGTATCCGGGATCTGCCCCGTTAGTCTGCCACCCACAATAATTGTAATCTTGGGTGTAAGACCTTCAAGTAGCAGCCCAGAGAGGAGAAACAGCATGCACACATCCCTTTATCCATCCTAGTCCTAGTAAGGAAGCTGCTTGTGTTGTTTCAGTTCACAGTGTAGTTGTACCATTCGGCTATGACATCTAACGATAAGTGGTGGGGTCAATTAAATGACAAAAGAAGTTGACTGCCAGGAATGTAAAAAAAAAAAAAACCTTGCTTCATGTATTAAATTTTTTTAAAGCATACATCCCTGAACTCCTAAAAAGTGTGGCTTGTGGTAAAAAAAAAAACATTTGAATCCTTTTGTAATACTCCCTTTTGACAAACATTTGAACAGAAATTGCTATTTAGTAATATTCTCCATTATGAATATTTTAACCAAAAATTTCATGTAGTAGGAATTGTGGTCAATGGACTTTAAACCCTCTTCCCCCTTTTTTTTCAGATGAGCCTTATGTTAAACAATATCACCCATACATGGGGGTGGCTGATAATTGTGAGAGGCTTTTCTACTTTGTGGTTTTTGGTTACTGCATCTCTAGGTGCAACTAACTCCAAGATACCCAGGCAGTTCTATGTCTTGCACAAATTTCCATTTAGCCACACAGAGCCAGCTAGCACCCAAGTTCTTCTTGTTAGCATTCACTGGCTGTAAACTCTGGCAGAAAGTTCTGGTTGTTCCTCTATTTTTGGACTTAAGTTTTGTTCCAAAACTTGAGTTTTGCGTGCATCTATTTTACAGATTTGCCCTGTTCCTTTATGACTTATGATTTGAGGTTATCTTCACGGCACTCCGGACTTGTCGATAGGTGCTCAGATTCCCCTTTCAGCATATTCATCAGTGTCCCCGGTTGATAGTCCCAGTCCTATGTTTGTTGACAAGACTTCTCCTACATCCGCTGTGCCTCTCGTGACTGGCTGTGCCGATCTTTACTCCTAATTCTTGCACTCTTAGCAAATATGTGGAAGTGATGCTCCCAAAATCCTCTGAACGTCCTACCTCTCTAATGGCATTAACAATGTCAGCATGATTCATGGGCCGCACCTCTACAACTAAGGCTCTTTCATTACCAACAACACCTGCATCCCTGGTACAAAAATGAAGGTAACTCTACGCACAGTGGAGTTTTGCAATGATTTGATTCCCTGTTTGCATACAAAGCCCGCCAGATCATGCTCATGGAATCACTCAGCACACAAATAGGAAAACCCTTGCGATGCTAGCCACATTAAAGCTTGTGTTTCCGCCATCACCTGCATTGTCATACTGCTAGTAGTCATACAGATGGCACCACTGGCCTCCTTGACTGTTCTCCT